GGGATCTCTCTCTTGCTCAGGCTGGTCTCGAACTCCTGAGCTCAAACTATCCACCCGCCTCAGCCTCCCAGAGTGCTAGGATTATAGGTGTGAGCCACCTCGCCCGGCCTGAATGTTCCTTTTTAAAAAAATAAATTCCTGCTCTAGTTTTGTTTAGCTCTCTGAGAATAATTTTGATGTATTAAATATTTTTAGTATTCTTTTCTTGCAAGTCTCTGTCCTCTCCAGGTATTTAAAAATTTTGTTTAATTGTCCAATATATAAAGTCTACCACATGTTTTAATATACATATGCATAGTGAAATGATTACTACAGTCAAGCACATTAAGATATTCCTCATCTTATAGTTACCCTATTTTTTTGTGGTAAGAGCACATAAAATCTACACATTAGGCAAATTTCCAGTATCTCATACTATATTATTAACTGTAGTTCTTATGCTGTATATTGGATCTCTAAACTTATTCATCCTTACATAATTGTAACTTTGGTATAACCACAACAACCCAACTCTCTCTCCCTTCCCCCCCCCCCCATTTTGGTTGTCTCCAGCTTTCCTGTTAGAGATTTTTATTAATGCTTGGTGCTTCTTGATTGCCTATTCACATTTTATGGTAGGATATTAAAATGCTGACTAAAAGGTCTCTAGTGGTTGGGTTTGTGAAATGATCTGTGTAGGTCATTTGTGTAGAACCCTCCTTGTCTTTAGTTCTTTTCCTCTTGAGCTGGTCTCATTTACCAAAAAAGATTCTTTTTCTTTCTTGCTTTTAAAGTGAAGACCTGACTGTCAGCATTTGGGGAGCCCAGTGAGAACAATGGGCTAGGAGTCTTAGTATCCGTAATTAAGTAATTCATTTACTTACTTATCGTGTTTTACACCTATCACTCCTACTTACAACTGTGCCGTATTTACCCTTGTCCAGAATCTTTTGTACTCTTTCTAGAGAATTAAGCTCTTACCTTCTGTTAGGGTGCGGAAGGGGAGTTAAAATATATTTAGAGCCGGAAAGAAGATCTAGGGGAACTGCTTCATGAACAGACTTTCAGCCAATCCTCGTGTTTTTAACCCCATCTTAAACACTATTTCCTTAAGTATGTGTCCTGCCATTTTTTAGCTTTTTATGAATTACCCAGTATAAATTGAGTTGTTTCTTGGCTTTTTCTACTCTTAGCTTAGGATTCAGCTTCTTGAGTTGATCACTTGTCCATTTGTTTTTCAGTTTTCAAAATTTTGTTGTATTTGTCTCTTCTCCCTTTTTTTCTGTTTGACGTCTCTGTTGATGAATAGGATTGGCCTATAATTTTCATTTCTTGTAATCTTGTTAGGTATTGACATCTAGGTCATATTGCCTCATAAAACAAGTTGGGAAATATTACTTTTTCAATTGTACTTAAATGTTTGATGGAATTCATTTGTCAAGCTGAATAGCCTTAGAGTTTTCTTTATAGGAAAGCTTTTCATTATAGATTCAAATTCATTGGTAAATACAAGGACTATTAAATTTTCTAGTTTGGTAATAAGCAGTGTTTTTATAAGATTTTGTCTAAAGTTTGAAATTATTAGCAAACAGTTTATAATATTCCTTTTAAGAACTTTTTAACGTAATTGTGGGTTTGTCCAATTCTCCTTTTACTTCTGCCAGTTTTTGCTTTATATATGAGACTATGTAATTAAGTGATACAAATATAGAACTGTTATATCTTCCTAATGAATTGAGCCTTCTATCAACTTTAATGAAGTGTCCTAACTTGTAACTATTTTTTCCTTCTTTGTCAGGTATAACTAAATCAGCTTTTTTTTGGTTAGTGTTTACATGGTATATATATTTTTTGTTGTTATACTACAGTGTTTCCATATCCATATATTTTAAAGGAGCATATACATCATCGTCATTGTTGTTTTCCAGTCTTACGGTCTTTGCCTTTTACCTGGGGTATTTAATACAGTTACATTTAATGTAATCTCTTGTTTATTTGGGCTTAAATCTAACCATCTAGGCCAGGCATGGTGACTCACGCCTGTAATCCTAGCACTCTGGGAGGCCGAGGCAGGAGGTTTGCTCGAGGTCAGGAGTTCGAAACCAGCCTGAGCAAGAGCGAGACCCCTTCTCTGCTATAAATAGAAAGAAATTAATTGGCCGACTAATGTATATAGAAAAAATTAGCCGGGCATGGTAGCTGTAGTCCCAGCTACTCGGGAGGCTGAGGCAGCAGGATTGCTTGAGCCCAGGAGTTTGAGGTTGCTGTGAGCCAGGCTGACGCCACGGCACTCACTCTAGCCTGGGCAACAAAGTGAGACTCTTGTCTCAAAAAATAAATAGATAAATAAATAAATAAATCTAACCATCTTACTATTTGCTTTCTGTTTGTCCCATTTGTCCTGTGTTCTCTTTTGTCTTCCTTTTGCTTTCTTTTTATTGGCTACTTTTTATTGACTTGCCAGTTATACATTCCTTTACTACGGTGATTACATAATACATCCTTGATTTTTCTTTCTCATTCTCTTTGTCCTTGTGTATTTTTTTTATAAACCTCTTTACTGTCATTAGGGGAGTGGCTAAATAAGTATAGTATATCCATTCAATAATGAGGAAAAAATATTTTTAATTGAACAAAGAAAGCAATATGTACAACAGTATGCTGTGTCTAAAGAAGAGAAGAATATCAGAATAAATATTTTGTGTTAGCTTTTGTATACATAAAGAAACTCAACAGGGATACACAGGAAGATAATCACAATGGCTCCCTGTTTAGTAGCAGTGAGGGGAACTGAAGGGATATAGGATCTCTTGCTATATACCTTTTTATATAATTAAAAAATTGTTTTCAACCATGAGTGTTACCCACTTGAAACTCAAATTAGAAAATAGTAATAAAATCCTTTTGCTATTATATTTTTGGGGATGTTAAGGGAATTTAGTTTAATTCTTATGCTCTATCTACCATCTTTATCCAGAAGTTTTTAAAATTATAGATTAACTCATGCAGAAGATTATCTCTGTAATATATAACAAATATTTGTTTATATTGCATGTCACTTTCTAAATGTCATACAATATACACTCTATATTTTTTATCCTGATAGCATTAATCATTAAAACTCAAGTTTGTCTTTATAGAAAAGTTAATAATTTTACCATTCTGAAGGCAAGTTTTGGTCTTTTGTATTAAAGTATAAAGAATATCATATATGTAAAGATTAATTGCATATGTGAATTCAAACAACTTTATGGAGCTACTAGCTGTGTAATTTAGAATCCAACAATTTCTTTCTTTGTATTTAGAATTTTAGTTTCTTTCCTTAAAATATTTTTAGTGTGACTGTAAGACAAAATTATTAGAGATAAAGAAAATAATGATAAAAGGGTCAATCCATCAAGAAGATAATTGAGAAAAGAAGGAAAACAAGTTTCCTTTCTTACCAGTGGTCCAAAGCCTATCTAGTACCTCACTGAAAGAAAGCTAATTTTTACTTTTTTTTTTACATTTTTACTTTTGCTTTGTGTAATTCATTGTTATATGTTATCCTTGAGTTTAAGAAGGCTATCTGTATGGAGTAAGGAGATAATTTTTTTTTTTTTTTTTTTGAGACAGAGTCTCACTCTGTTGCCCAGGCTAGAGTGCCGTGGTGTCAACCTAGCTCACAGCAACCTCAAAGTCCTGGGCTCAAGCAATCCCTCTGCCTCAGCCTCCCAAGTAGCTGGGACTACAGGCATGTGCCACCATGCCCAGCTAATTTTTTTCTATGTATTTTTAGTTGTCCAATTAATTTCTTTCTATTTTTAGTAGAGATGGGGTCTTGCTCTTGCTCAGGCTGGTTTCGAACTCCTAACCTTGAGCGATCCTCCCGCATCGGCCTCCCAGAGTGCTAGGATTATAGGCATGAGCCACTGCACTCAGCCAGGAGATAATTTTTTTAAACAGGCTTTTATTTCTTTTTTCTAAGACTGTCTTGAGAATATCTTGGGATAATTTGTGTTACAGGTTTTTAGTAAAATTCAGCTTGATACCTTAAAAAAATTAAAACATCAAGTTGTTGTAAACTATATAGGCAGGATATTTTCCTGTTTTGTTTGTAAAAAGTGTGAATTCAGGCAGCTATAAGGAAAAGTTAACTTTTTTTCTTTCATTTTGGTAGGTTTGAGAAATTTCTGTGGTTCATTAGCTCAGAGAACTATCTAATTATAGGTGGACGAGATCAGCAACAGAATGAAATAATTGTGAAGAGATACTTGACATCAGGTAGGTAAGATTAAAATTCTGAAGATTTTTCTTTTAAATGATTGAGTAAGTTATCTCAATATTAAGCATTGATTTTCATCATATACTCTTTTGTTTGACAGATTTAATTAGTAGAAAGATTTAATTCTTGATGGTTTATGGGTTGTTGAATATGTGCTTTGATACTTCATTTTCATCTTAAGTGAATATTCCTAAAGTAGTATTGCTGAGCTAATCTACAGCGTTGGGACTTTTGATGCTGTACTATATTAACAAAATAGTTTTCAATCCTCCAAAATCATTATAGGTTAAATTTTTAAAAGCTTAATTTTTTAGTGCTAAAGTTTATAACTATTTTTCACATTTAGATATAGGACTTAAAGTATCATTTCTTGTTTTTATTTAAGGAGATATCTATGTACATGCCGATCTTCATGGAGCTACTAGCTGTGTAATTAAGAATCCAACAGGTATTATATTTCTTTCTATTCAGAATTTTAGTTTATTTCCTTAAAATATTTCTAGTGTAAAATATAAGACAAAATTAATAGAGATAAAGAATATAATTGGCTGGGCATGGTGACTCATGCTGTTAATCCTAGTACTCTGGGAGGTAGAGGTGGGAGGATCACTTGAGGTCAGAAGTCAGGAGCAAGAATGAGATCTCATCTCTACTAAAAATAGGAAAAATTAGCCAGGAATTGTTGTGTGGGCCTATAGCCCCAGCTACTTGGGAAGCTGAGGGAGGAGAATCTCTTGAGCCCAGGAGTTTGCAGGAGTTGCAGTGAGCTATGATGATGCCACTGCACTCTACCCAGGGTGACAGAGCAAAACTTTGTCTGAAAAAAATAAAATAATGATAAAAAGGTCACTCCATCAAGAAGCTATAATAATTATAAACATATATTCATCTAATAACAGCCCTAAAATACATGAAGCAAAACCTGACAGAATTGAAGGGATAAATAGATAATTCTACAATAATAGTTGGGGGGCTTCAGTATCCAACTTTCAGTCATGGATAGGATAACTAGACACAGGAGCAATAAGGAAGTAGAAGACTTGAACAACACTATAAATTAAGTAGATCTAACAGACATCTCTAGAATATTCTACTAACAGTAGCAGGATGCAGGTTAAATATCCCTTATCTGAAATGCTTGGGACCAGAAGTGTTTCAGATTTTGGACTGTTGACCTTATACACTGGTTGACCATCCCAAACCCGAAAATCTGAAATCCAAAATGCTCCATTGAGCATTTCTCTTCAGCAGTCATGTTGCTGTTCAAAAAGGTTTGGATGTTGGAGCATTTTGGATTTGGAATGCTCAACCTGTATGTCTGTATGTCTGTATGTCTATGAAACAAGTAAGTTTTCTAACCATAATAATTATAAGGTGAGTTAGGGTGAAATTAGAAACCAATAGTAGAAGAAAATTTAGAAAATTCAAAAATGTGTTGAAATTAAGCACCATTCTCATAAATAACCAGTGAGTCAAAGAGGAAATCACAAGGATATCAGAAAATACTTTGAGATGAATGAAATGAAAACACAGTATAACACAACTTATATGAGATACAGGTAGAGCAGCATTTGGAGAGAATTTTATAGCTGTAAATGCCTATATTTAAAAAAGGTCAAATCAATAACTTTGTATTATAAGAACTGGAAAAAGTCCTATTTCCCTGGTTCTCATGGGGGGAAAAAAAAGAACTAGGCTGGGCACAGTGGCTAAAGCCTATAATCCTGGCACCCTGAGAGGCCAAGGTGGGCAGATTGTTTGAGCTCAGGAGTTCGAGACCAGCCTGAGCAAGAGCGAGACCCTGTCTCTACTGAAAATAGAAAGAAATTAGCTGGACAACTAAAAGAAATATATGGAAAAAATTAGCTAGGCATGGTGGTGCACTCCTGTAGTTCCAGCTACTCAGGAGGCTGAGGTAGAAGTATTGCTTGAGCCCAGGAATTTGAGGTTGCCGTGAGCTAGGCTGACACCACGGCACTCTAGCCCCGGCAACAGAGTGAGTCTCTGTCTCAAAAAAAAAAAAGACCTAGAAAAACAGCCCAATGCAAGGAGAAGGAAGAAAATAATAAAGATTAACATAGAAATAAATGAAAGAATATAGAAAAATAGTCAACAAAACCAAAGTTGGCTCTTTGAAGAGATAAACAATATTGGTAAATCTATAGGTAGACTGACCAGGAAAATAAGAGAGAAGACTCAAATTCTTAAAGTCAAGAATGGAAAAGCGGACATTACTACTGACTTTACAGAAATCAAGGAATAAAAATGAATAGTATGATTTATAGGCCAATAGCTTAGATAACCTAGGTGAAATGGACAAATTCCTAGAAAGTTATAAACTACTATAACTGACTCAAGAAGAAATAGTGAATTGAAACAAATGTATAATAAGTAAAGAGATTGATTAGTAATATGGAGGGAAACCTACTCACAAAGAAAATCCCGGGCCTAGTTGACTTCACTGGTGAATTATACCAAACTTTTGTTTTTTATTTGAAACAGAGTCTCTCTCTGTTGCCTAGGCTAGAGTGCAGTGGTGTCATCATAGCTCACTATAATCTTAGACTCCTGGGCTCAAGCAGTTCTGCCTCAGCCTCCTAAGTAGCTGGGATTATAGACACATGCCACCACATCTAGCTCGTTTTTAATTTTTCTCGTAGAGATGGGGTTTCACTATATTGCTTAGGTCTTGAATTCCTAATCTCGAACAATCCTCCCACCTTGGCCTCCCAGAGTACTGGGATTACAGGTGTGAGCCACTGCACCTAGCCTATACCAAACTTTAAAGAAAGTTGAATACTAGTTTTTCACAAAGTCTTCCAAAAAACTGAAGAGATGGGAACACTTCCTATTTCATTCTGTGAAGCCAGAATTACCCTGATAACAAAACCAGACAAAGACATCACAAGAAAACTATAGACCAATATTGCTTATGAATATAGGCATAAAACTCTTCAACAAAATATTAGCAAACCAAATATAGCAGCAGAAAAGGATTATATATCATGATAAAGTGCTATTTATCGCAGGAATACAAAGTTGGTTCAATAAAAGAAAATTAATGTAATATTATTATAATAAAAGACAAAAATGACATGATTAACTCAGTTGATGCAGAAAAACCATTTGGCAAAATCCAACACTCATTTGTGATAAAAACACTCAACAAACTAGAATAGAAAGGAGGTTCCTCAACTTGGTAAAAAGCATTTATGAAAAACTCACAGCTAACAATCATACTTAATGTTGAAAGACTGGATACTTTCCTTCTACCATGAGGAACAAGACAAGCATGTTTATTCTTGCCACTTCTATTCAATGTTGTGCTGGTGGTTCTGTATAGGCCATTAGGCAATGAAAAGAAATAAAAAAAATACTGAAATTGGTAAGGAGGAGGTACAACTATCTCTGTTTACAGATAAGATCTTATATATTGAAAAAAACCTAAGGAATCCACCAAAAATTATCAGAGCTAATAAACAAGTTCTACCATGTCCAAGATATAAGATCAAAATACAAAAAATTAGTTGTATTTCTATGCACTAGCAGTGAATAATCCAAACAGGCAGTATTACCCACAGAAACCTACAGATTCATTGTAATCCCTCAAATTGCAGCTGCCTCTTTTTCTGCAGAGATAGACAAGCTGATCCAAAAGTCTTAAAAATGAGGAACAAATTTAGAGGACTTCCTGATTTCAAAATGTCCTACAAAGCAACAGTGATCAGGATAGCATGGTATTGGCCTAAGGATGGACAAGTAGATCAACAAATAGAATTGAGATTCCAGAAATACACTTTCTAGTTTATGGTCAGTGGATTTTCAACAAGATTGCCAAGGCCATTCAGTGGGGATAGAATAGCTTCTTTCTTTCTTTTTTTTAATAGACTTTATTTTTCAGAGAAGTTTGAGGTGCACAGTAAAATTGAGCAGAAGGTAGAGAGATTTCCCATGTATACCCTGCCCCTCACATGGATAGCCTCCCCTGTTATCAGAATCCCCCACTGGAGTGGTACATTTGTTAAAATTGATGACCCTGCATTGACACATCGTTATTACCCAGAGTCCATAGTTTACATTAGGGTTCATTCTTGTTGTACAGTCTGTGGGTTTGGACAAATGCATAGTGACATTTATCTGTCATTATCATGCAGAGTAGTTTGCACTCAAAATCCCCTGTGGTCTGCCTGTTCATTCCTCCCTGCCCCCTAAACCCTGGCAACTACTAATTATTCTGTTTCTGTCTTTTCCAGAACATCTCATAGTTGCAGTCATACATCATGTAGCCTTTTCAGATTAGCTTCTTCACTTAGTAGTGTGCATTTAAGTTTCCTCCATGCTTGATAGCTCATTTCTTTTTAGTCCTGTGTAATATTCCATTGTCTGTATATGCCACAGTTTATTTATCCATTCACCTACTGAAGGACATCGTGGTTTCTTCCAAGTTTTGGCAATTAATATGAATAAAGCTGCTATAAACACCCCTGTGCAGGTTTTTGTATGGACATAAGTTTTTAGTTCATTTGGACAAATACCAAGGAGCAAAATTGTTGGATCACATGGTAAGAGTATGTTTAGTTTTGTAAGAAACCACCAGACTGTTTTCCAAAGTGCCTGTATACCCTTTTGCATCCCCAATACCAATAAATGAGAGTCCTGTTGCTTCACACCCTTGCCAGCATTTGGTGTCATTCAATTTTTGGATTTTGGCCACTCTAATTGATGTGTAGTATATGTTATTGTTTCGATTTGCATTTACTTCATGACATATGGTGTGGAGCATCTTTTTAAATGCTTATTATCTGTATATCTTATTTGATGAAGTATCTGTTAAGGTCTTTGGCCCATTTTTTAAATCAAGTTGTTTGTGTTCTTAATGTCAAGTTCTAAGAGTTCCTCATATATTTTAGATAATAGTCCTTTATCTCTATCAGAAAAGACATCCGCTATGTCTTTTCCAAATATTTTCTGCCAGTCTGTGGCTTCTTTTCATAGACTGATCTCTTTAACAGTGGTGAATGAAGTTAGAATGTGAAGTTAGAATGAAGTTAGAAGTTAAAATGAAGTTAGAAGTGAAGAATGAAGTTAGACCTCTTCTTCACACTATTTATAAAAATTCACCCAAGACCTAAATTAAGAGCTAAAACTATAAAACTGTTAGAAGAAAAAGTATAAACCTTCATAATCTTATATCATGTAGTCATTCATTTGTTAGACATAATACCAAAATCATAAGTAACCATACAAAACAGGTAAATTGGAGCATAATCCAAATTAAAATCCGTAATTCAAAGGACATTACCAAGACAGTCAAAAGACAACCCACAGAATAGGAGAAAATATTTGCAAATCAAATATCTGATAAGGGACCAGTATCCAATGAATACTTAAGACTCCACAGTAGAAAGGCAAATAACCCAATTAAAAAATAAGCAAAAGATTCCAGTAGATATTTCTCCAAAGATATATGAATGACCAAGGAACACTTGAAAAGATACTCAGCTTCATTAGTCATTTGGGAAATACAAATCAAAACCACAATGAGATACTACTACTTCACACTCACTAAGGTGGTTATAATGAAATAATTGACAATAACAAGTGTTCGTGAGGATGTGGAGAAATTAGAACCCTCATATACTGCTGGTGAGAATGGAAAATGATACAGCTACTGTGGAAAATGGTTTGGCAGTTCCTCAAAAAGTTAAACATAATTGTGACCCAGCAATTCTACTCGTAGGTATTTACCCAAGATAAGTGAAGACGTGTCCCCACACAACTTATTTGCAAATATTCATAGCATTATTTATAATGGCCAAGAAATGGATGCATTCCATTTGTCCACCAATTGAATAACAAAATTCAATGAATTTTGAATAAACAAAATGTGATATATCCATAATAGATTATTATTGAGACTTAAAAAGAACTGAAGTACTTATACATGCCCTCAACATGGGTGAACTTTGAAACATTATGCCAAGTGAAAGAAGCCAAACATAAAAGGCTACATAATGATTCTGTTTATATGAAATTTCCAAAATGAGCAAATCAATAGAAAGTAGATTAGTGATTGACTACGGGTTGGGTATGGAGGAGAAAATTGGGAGTGGCTACTATTGAACACAGGGTTTCTTTTCTGGTATAGTAAAAATGTTCTAGAATTAGTGTTGGTGGTCACACGATGTTATGAATATACTAAAAGCCATTGAAATGTATACTATTAAAGGGTGAATTTTATGGTATGCTAACTATATCCCAATTTTAAAATATTTGAAATCTAACAATAAGGGATTTATTATTAATATGCTCTGCTCTTCATTTTGATGATTTAGGTAATCTAAATTAGTTCTGGAAGTCTTCAAACTTTAGATTTTTCTAAATTATCTTTCTGAAGTGAAGTTACAATTATTGATATAAGTGAGAGGATATTTCTTCTCTGACTTGTTTTATTTACATAAGTCCTTTAAAGGCCTGCCATGTAAATACATTTTTAATAAAAATTGTAATTTTTTATAATGGTGAAGTAAAAAGTATTTAAGATAAAAGAAAATTGAACCTGTCATGCTGTATGTGATTTTCATATATTGCTCTATAGATAGTCTGTCTGTACTTTGGTTATTACAGGAGAACCCATCCCCCCACGGACCTTGACTGAAGCTGGCACAATGGCACTTTGCTACAGTGCTGCTTGGGACGCACGAGTAATCACTAGTGCTTGGTGGGTGTACCATCATCAGGTAATAAGGGCTGTGATCCTTTTTCTTAATTTACTAAGAGCTACTGTGTGCCCCGTTTTGAGGTATAGAAGTGAATAAGACAGTCAAAGTACCTACCTTGAAAGAGCTTACATTTTGGTGGTAGAGAAAAATATGTACATAATGTCAGGTGATAAGTGCTATAAAATTTCTTTTTTTAAGCAATGAAGAGGACAGTGATGGGGTTACCATTTTCCATAAAGTATCAGGGGAGGCCTTTCTGGGAAGGTAAGGTTTGAGCAGAGACCTAAATGAATAGAGAGTGAGCCATTCAGTTGTACTAAAGAGGGTTCCAGTTACTACTGGCATACTGACCTAAGAGGTCTTGTTCCTATTCATTATTATTGGAATTTTCTGAATTCTCGTAGGCCTTTCCAGAAAAGTGGCTATATCCTATGTTTTTTTATTTATTTGGTTTTAGTAATTGCCCTTCTTCATGATTAATGCTGTTTTATTTGACAATATTTGACTTCATGTTGCTATTGATTTCATAGTTTTGAGAATTATATTAATAACTGATGATATACTTTTACAAGATTCTAAAGCTATACAGTAAGATGAAAATAGTTCAATTCCATTATCCTTCCTTAGATTTAGTTTAATTTTATATCTATTTATAATTATTAGCTGGTATTCTGTGATACTGTCATATTAAATTATAATAATTTTGACTTCAGTACTATTAAAAATGCAGTTTTAATTCTTTTATGAAGAAACTTTTTAGGATGAAATGTAGTGTTTTTAATTCCTTCCTGTTTTAATAACTAGAACTAATAAAGACACTCTCAGATTTAGGAGTTTCACAGATGTATAATATTTTTTTTTAATTATGAGATAAGCTTATTTTCTGTTTTGCCAAACTAGGACTTATTTTTAAAAACCTGCTATGTTGACCAGGCGCAGTGGCTCAACGCCTTTATTCCCAGCACTTTGGGAGGCCAAGGCAGGAGGATCACTTGAGGCCAGGAGTTTAAGACCAGCCTAGGCAACATAGTTGAGACCCTGTCTCTACAAAAAGATTTTTAAAGCTTAGCCAGGCATGATGGCACACACCTGTACTTCCAGCTACTTGGGAGGCTGAGGCAGAAAGATCCATTGAGCCCAGGAGTTCCAGGCTGTTATAAGCTGTGATCACACCACTGCATTCCAACCTGGACAACAGAGTGAGACACTGTATCTTTAAGGAAAAAAAAAAAATCTGCTATCATCTATATTTCCTAAATTGAAAGGCTATTTAATTGTTAAAAAAAACAATTTTACTTTTTAAATAGAGCTTTACTTTAGTAAATGTAACTTTATGATAAGCTTATTAAACTATCCTTACTTATTTCATTATATCTCACACTGGAAGTGGACCAGTTCTGACTCTAGTCCATGGCATTTGAAAATCAATAATGTAATGGATACTTTGTTATTTCTTTGTTACTGACTCCCAAAGGTGTAACTATCATTGAAGGGATATCTATCCCCTCAGTGTTGAGAATTTTTGCCAAATTGTAAACTTTTCAGAACATAGTACTGCTTACTTGAATCTGACTTTACTTCCTCCTTGAGTGGTGGGGGGAAAACCTGAGTATTGTAAAAACAAGAATATAACATATTATTTGTGTTCCTCAGGTGTCTAAAACAGCACCAACTGGAGAATATTTGACAACAGGAAGCTTCATGATAAGAGGTAATGGCTTGACATGAAAAATAGCTCTAGGCTTGTTAGTTGATTAGAGAGATGGGTTTGAAGGACCATCTACAAGTATTTTCAGAAGGAAACTACTCAGATTTCACATAGGAAATTTGTTATGAAATAAGGAAATTTTTGCCTTAATATGGCATAATTAGCGTTTGTCATGTCATCTTCATATATATTTTTATTGATGAGAATGTGCTTTCCCATAGTTTAGTTATAAAGGTAAGACAGTAAAGCCTGATTACTCTTTCTTTCTTTCTTTCTTTTCTTTTCTTTTTTTTTTTTTTTGAGGCAGTCTCACTCTGTTGCCCAGGCTAGAGTGAGTGCCGTGGCGTCAACCTAGATCACAGCAACCTCAATCTCCTGGGCTCAAGCGATCCTCCTGCCTCAGCCTCCCAAATAGATGGGACTACAGGCATGCGCTATCATGCCCAGCTAATTTCTTCTATATATATTAGTTGGCCAATTAATTTCTTTTTATTTATAGTAGAGATGGGGTCTCGCTCTTGCTCAGGCTGGTTTCGAACTCCTGACCTCTAGCAATCCACCCACCTCAGCCTCCCAGAGCTGATTACTCTTCTGAAAATAGAATATTCAGGGTCTGACTAACCCAAAAGATGAGAGCAAGCATGCATGTTTCTTCTTCTTAATAAAAACTTCCTATATATAATGCCAAATTCTGTAAATTGTTCTTTATGACAGAGTAAATGACAAAGTGGATATGACTATTGGTGTCAGATACTTTGCAAACAAAAGTTTGAAACATTAATATATATTATCTTTTGTAGGAAAAAAGAATTTTCTTCCTCCCTCATATCTAATGATGGGGTTTAGCTTCCTCTTCAAGGTACTGTTCAGTTTCTTGGTTATTTTTTTTTTTTTCTGATTTCCATTAGTCTCATCTAAAGCTCCATCAATGAAAAAGAACTATTTCTATAGGTAGATGAGTCTTGTGTTTGGAGACATCGAGGTGAACGAAAAGTCAGAGTGCAGGATGAAGACATGGAGACACTGGCAAGTTGTACAAGTGAACTCATATCAGAAGAAATGGAACAACTAGGTAGTTTATAGATTTTAAGAAATTAGCTTGTGATGTTTTTTATTGTCTGATTTTGCTTCTAAATCTTTAGGTAGAAGACCTTGTCTCTTTTGGTATAATCTAAATTTCAAAAAATACATGTCAATTTTATTGAATTTTGTTTTTGGAAATGTTAGCTATACTAATTCTAGTGAATTAAAAAGTAATTAGCTCCATACAAATATACTTTATGTAATAAAACTTTAATATTTAATGGATAAATGTGTTTAGCAGAGATAGACTCAGGTATATATGAATGAGCATTTGCTTTTGGGTTTAGGAATTAGAAATGACAGATGAATTTATAACAAGTGTAGTTTCTTATATGAGAATTTGGCTTGGTTTAATAATATAATTGCTTCAAGCAGAGAACAACTGTGGTTCTTAGAATAAATTTACCTACGTAGCTAAGGGAACTAAGGAAAATTATGCCCTCTAAACTGCTTTTGCAGTTATTATCTCTCCTAGAGTCATTTGTTTTTAGGAGTAATATGCATTGTTTCATTTATAACTCCAATTGTGGTACAAGATTCTGTTGATTGAGGTTCACCATGTCCTAGCACTGTATAAAGTGCTTTATTTATATTATTTTTAGTTAATTCTCACAAACACCCTTGTCAGATCAGTGGTGGCATCTTAATTTGCAGGTGAGGCAACTAGACCCTGTTATTATTATTAAACAGTGTTTCTTTTGCAAAAGTATGAGCATATCCTATGTGCCAGTTATTATATATAATAGGTATTCAGTTTTCATGTGCAAATTATAATAAAAGCAGCAGAATTTATGCATCTAATTTTATTTTCTTGCTTTGTTGAAATACCTAACAAAGGTGAACTTATGGTTCTCATTATAGAAATGGTAACAATGTCCAAGAAATTTATTGTGGTAAAAGATCTTAGAGATCATTTAGTTCAGCCTATTCATGATATAGAGTATCCTTTTGTCTAAGAGTACCCTTTGAGGATGATAAAGCCTTTTCCTAGTGATCTTTCAGAGAAACAGGGAGTCAATGGAGTAATTTTATAAAGTGTTCAAGAAAATCACCTAAGTTTGTTGGTAATCCCATAGTGACTGACTTTCCTTATGTTAATTCTACAGACGGAGGTGACACTAGCAGTGAAGAAGATAAAGAGGAATTACGTGAAACTCCTGTAGATGTAGAACTTGTGACTCAGGTTGACCAAGAGGATATTACTGTTCAGAGTGGTGGAGATGAACTTAATGAGGAACTAATTCACGAAGAAAGCTCAGAAGATGAAGGAGAATCTGAAGAGGCTATGAAAGATCAGGATCCTCTTGGTAACGTGAAAGATGAAGGGGAAGAGACATTAAATTATCCTGATACTACTATTGACTTATCCCACCTTCAATCCCAAAGGTAATTAAAAAACATAATTCTAAGTTTTATTTTGTAAGCTGAGAATAATGATAAGATAATCCTTACAAAGTCCAGCTGTAGTGGTTATAGAAAAAAAATAAGGAAAAAAAGATAATACCAAGATTAACTTCAGTACTGTTATCCGCTGTTGTTTTACTATTTTTTCACCATTGGATTGGGTCTCTCTTTAAAGAAGCTCCCAGGACCAGGGTAGAAAAATATGCTAAATATAAAAGTGGCCAGACTAGGTCAAAATAGAAACAAGTAAGTGATTATAAATGCTGACAACAAAACAAAGGCAATTCCATTAAAAATATATATAAAGTGTTTCCGTCTTTAATGTCTTGCTGATCACCGATGAACAATTCATGTTATAAAAGCATTATTGGGGGGGGTTATTAAGAATAGCTTAGAAGTCAGACAGACCAGTATTGAGTCTTAAGAGTGTGTCCTTGGGCAAGTTACTGTGTGTTTTAGCTTTAGTTTCCTTCTTGATGAAAATAGAGTGATAATCTCTTTCATAGCATTTTGGTAAGATTTTATGCATGTAAAGTATCTAGCAGTGCCTGGCATGTAGTAATTTTTCAATACATGCCACTTGTTTAAGAATATATGGGCCGGGCGTGGTGGCTCACACCTGTAATCCTAGCTCTCTGGGAGACCGAGGCGGGCGGATTGCTCGAGGTCAGGAGTTCGAAACCAGCCTGAGCAAGAGCGAGACCCCGTCTCTACTATAAATAGAAAGAAATTAATTGGCCAACTAATATATATATAAAAAAAAATTAGCCGGGCATGGTGGCACATGCCTGTAATCCCAGCTACTTGGGAGGCTGAGGCAGAAAGATTGCTTGAGCCAGGAGATTGAGGTTGCTGTGAGCTAGGCTGACGCCATGGCACTCACTCTAACCTAGGCAACAAAGCGAAACTCTGTCTCAAAAAAAAAAAAAAGAATATATGAAAGTGTGTAGAGATAAACGACTTTAATTATATGTCTTGCTAATTTTACCAAATTTGAAAATTTGTAGGATTGCCAATAATTAAGATGATGATTTGTGAATGTTTTTGAGACTTTGTAAATGAATGTCTTGTACAGGCTAGTAGACTCCTCTTTCTATTTGTTTTCATAGGTCCCTTCAGAAATTGGCTTCAAAAGAGGAATCTTCTAATTCAGTAAGCTGTTTTTAAAGTTTTATGAAAAACACCATATTCTTCTCAATGAATTCTTCTTTACTTTTTTTTTTTTTGCTTTTTGAAAAATTAATGATAGTGATGTTACTGTTTGCATTTGTTTGTTTCTTTAACAGAGTGATAGTAAATCACAGAGCCGGAGACATTTGTCAGCCAAGGAAAGAAGGTAAACATACTTGTGTTATCTAAATAAAAAGCATTTTTCTTTCTTTCTTTTTTTTTTTAGTTGACAGCTCATCTACCATAGATCACTTGGCTGTTCCAGAGACTTCCTTTATTAAAATTACCAAGATTTAGCATAAGTCTTTAGTTTTCGATATTTAGTTCTGATATAATTTTCTGTTTTAGGGCCCTAATCTGTAATGAGTGAAATAGATCAAGCATAGTAAGTCCTCACTTAAAGTCATCGATAGGTTCTTGGAAACTTCGATTATGGGAAATGATGTATAATAAAACCAGTTTTACCCTAGGCTAATTAATATAAATGAGGGTTAAGTTTTTATAGCATATTTCTGGTCACAAAAACATCACCAAACTTGTAAATAAGGAGATAAAACACTTCTAATATTAAACATTGAAATAAATGTAAGCTATATATACATTTAAGAATGATTAATAAAGGCAAGGTAATTATTTACTCAACCTTTGGTGAATCAGTTACTGATGGGGCTGGTAATGGTAGTTAAATATTTACCAAGTGAAAATTATTAAGAGCATTTCCTATCACCATGCAATGCAGTTCAAAGACTAACAATAACATGGCTGAGCACAGTGGCTCCCAGCACTTTGGGAGGTCAAGGCAGAATTGTTTGAGGCCAGGAGTTTAAGACCAGCCTGAGCAACGTAGGTAGACCATGTCTCTACAAAAATAAAAATTAAAAAATCAGCTGGGCATGGTGTCGTGTGCCTGTAGTCCCAGCTACTTGGGAGGCTGAGGCAGGAGAATTGCTTGAGCCCAGGAGTTACAAGCGGTAGTGAGCTATCATGACGCCACTGCACTCCAGCCTGGGTGACAGAGCAAGACCTTGTCTCAAAAAAAAAAAAATTAAAACAATAACAAAGATGGTGAGCTTGCTGACTACTTTTGTACTGCATAATGCGTTTATTGTCATGCATATGTATGACTATTATATACTTTTTTTTTGAGACATAAATCTCACTCTGTTGCCAGGGCTGGAGTGCCATGGCATCATCATAGCTCTCTGCAAGCTCAAACTCCTGGGCTCAGGTGATTCTCCTGCCTCAGCCTTCCCAGTAACTATAGGCACATACCACCATGCCCAGCTAATTTTTCTGTTTTTTGTAGAGACAAGGGTCTTGCTCTGTGCTGAGGGTAGTCTCGAACTCCTGGCCTCAAGCAATCTCCCACCTCACTCGGCTTCCTAAAGTGCTAGTGTTATAGATGTGAGTGACCACACCTGGCATGATTATTCTGTACTTTATGAATATTTATTTGACAATCATTTATATTTATTCGTTCATTTTTCTAACCTGCTTATTCCAGTTAAGGGTCTCTGGTGGTTGGAACCTGTCATGGCAGCTCAAGGCAGCAGGCAGGAACCAGCCTAGGACAGGATGCCATTCCAAAACAGGGTGCACTGACATCTGCACTCATTCATGCTGGGACAATTTAGACATACCAGTTAACTTAATGTGCACCTCTTTGAGATGTGAAAGGAAACTGGAGTACCTGGAGGAAATTCACAAAAACATAGGGAGTACATGCAAACTCTACATAGGCAGTGCCCCAGCCCAGAATCAATTTTTTCTTCGTCAACATAACAAAATGGCATTGAATGAAACAGTGTTATTACATAAACACATACAATAATGATTGCAGTATATTAGGCTGGTTCTAGGATAATATTTACAGGAATAAATAGGAATACCTGAAATTAACTAAGAAAGTTTTATGTAAGGCAGAAGACTTGATTTTTTTTTTTTTAAATAGCAGATCTTGAGAGGCAAGTAGAAAGGCAAGGACAGAAAGGAGGGGATAACTACTATAGGATAGGAAAGACTAAGACTACTAATGCACTGCAGGAAGAGACTCTATAGATTAGAATGAAAAATAGTCTTTTTGTTTGAGAAATACCATTATTAAACAATTACAAAGAACTCTGAGTATGTGGCACTATGTCAGAGACCAAGTATACAAAAAGGAAAAATATAAAGTTCATGCCTTCAAGAAGCTTTTGAGTCCTAGATTTAGGAAATAGTCATAAATATATAAATAGTGTTGTCTGAAAGCTATACCGTAGTTCAGGAAATGAGATTGCTGTGAGTTCAGATGTTTTGGGAAATACCATCAGACATATACCTTGAAGGTGTGTTAGCGTTTCAGTAAATGAAGGTATATGAAGAAGGAGGGAGACTCCAAGGAAAATTAGCATTAACAAAGGGGAGAGCGTTTGGAAGTAATGTGCATGGTGCTTTGGGGAAATGGTAAGTAGACTGAGGTGAACAGAGGAGAAAGTTTATATATGTGAATTGGTAGATGATAAGATTGGAGAAGTGAATTTGGAAAAGAAGTGGAGAATCTGTACTTTTTGAACTTTATCCTGAAAGTGATATGAAGAGAACCTTTGGAAGATTTTCAGTGGGACTGTGACATAGGTAAACAATTTAGGAAGATTAATATAGACGTTCAGGTAGAACAGATTATGGGGGACATGTTGGAAGAAGTCAGTGGGAAATGGTGGGGACCTGGACTAGCTACTGGCATTGGGAATAGAAAGAAAAATAACAGGAATAGAATTTCCCCTTCCTCCTGAATCTGCATATTTTAAAAAAATCCATTTATTTATTCAACCATTCTGTCAACAGAATGCCTAAGATTTGCCAAGGCCATGCTGATACAAAGAGTACTAATCCCAGGACCTGGCCTTCAAGGTGCTCAAGGACTGAATGTGACTAATGAATAAGGGTAAACCAAGGGTGATAGTGTGTTGAGGCTGGATGACAGAAAGAATGATAAATCCATGAGAGATGAAAAATTTTCACCATTTTCCTTTGTGATGATTTGAGTGTTTTAGTTCACTATAGCTTGGTGATTATCAAGTTAAGCAGAATACTGTACATGTTCCCCTTCTCATGGAATTTTTTTAGGGCACTAAGAATATGAAATTCTAAGAAGTAGATGTTTTCATTTCATTTGTATCTAGGGAAATGAAGAAGAAAAAACTTCCAAGTGATTCAGGGGATTTAGAAGTGATAGAGGGAAAGGACAAAGAAAAAGAAAGTGCTGTACACATTGAAACTCATCAGAACACAAGCAGAAATGTTCCAGTCGTGCAGCCAATGAAGCGAGGACAAAAGGTAATAAACTTCAGGATGATCTGTCAAAGTTAGTACAATATGGTTCACAAATGAATTTGTGAGATTCTGCTTAATTCTTTGAAATTTAAGTAAAATAATAGATGTAGGAAAAAAAAAAAAAAAAAATCCTGTGTGACTTCCTTTGACTGAAAATTAGTTCAAAAGATACCACATTTAGGCCTGGCGCGGTGGCTCACTCCTGTAATCCTAGCACTCTGGGAGGCTGAGGCGGGAGGATTGCTCAAGGTCAGGAGTTTGAAACTAGCCTGAGCAAGAGCAAGACCCCGTCTCTACTATAAATAGAAAGAAATTAATTGGCCAACTAATATATATAGAAAAAATTAGCCGGGCATGGTGGCACATGCCTGTAGTCCCAGCTACTCGGGAGGCTGAGGCAGGAGGATTGCTTGAGCCCAGGAGATTGAGGTTGCTGTGAGCTAGGCTGATGCCACGGCATTCACTCTAGCCTGGGCAACAAAGTGAGACTCTGTCTCAAAAAAAAAAAAAAAGATACCACATTTAGGGAACATAAAAGAGATCAGTTATAAATTCTTTAGACCTTTAAGATCATCTGCACAGAAGCTTTGATTTTATGTTAAAGAGGAATAAGAGACTGATTTGCCAGAGTCACCCAGATAGTAAGCAGCAGAGATGATAGTTATTGATAATTTAACTTAGTTTCTTTTGCAGTTATCAGTGTGATTTTGATTAGAGTTCTTACATATTTTATTAAAGGTTGGTGCTGAAGGATGTAGTACTGGATATAGAACATACTTTTAAAATGCTGTAGCAGTTTAAAAAAGGGGATTATGGGATAATTTATCAGTGTTTTTTTTTTTTTTGGAGACAGAATCTCACTCTGTTGCCTGGGCTAGAGTGCTGTGGTGTCAGCCTAGCTCACAGCAACCTCAAAGTCCTAGGCTTAAGTGATCCTACTGCCTCAGCCTCCCAAGTAGCTGGGACTACAGGCATGCGCCACCTTGCCCGGTTAATTTTTTCTATATATTTTTAGTTGGCCAATTAATTTGTTTTTATTTTTAGTAGAGATGGGGTCTCTCTCAGGCTGGTTTCGAACTCCTGACCTTGAGTGATCCTCCCGCCTTGGCCTCCCAGAGTGCTAGGATTACTGTCATAAGCCACCGAGCCCAGCCTATTAGTGTATCTTTTTAAAAATTAAATTCCTTTAATTTTAATTTTAAAAGGGTTCCTTTACAATCCTTTTTTTTCCTCTTAAGACAAGGTTTAACTGTGAGTTGTCCTGGCTGGTGTGCAGTGCTTTTCACAGGTGTGATCATAGCACACTATAGGCTTGAACTCCTGGGCTTAAGTGACCCTCTCACCTTAGCCCGCTGAATAGCTGGATTACAGGTGCAAGCCACTTGCACCCGGCAACAATCTTTATAAACATGTTTTATGTTCTTTCCTGTATCCATAGTGGTCACACTTTTCTTTTTTCCAGTGAGCCACAAATAAATGAAGTGACATATTATGCATATGGAATGGAAGCCTCAAGATATAATAAAAATATGTTTTCTTCATATTAATATGAAAATTCAACATGACTTTAATCAGAATTGAGATTTTAATAAACTTGATAAAATAATTCTAGAGTTCATTTTAAAGAGTAAATGCCAGAGGATAGACAAGGAAATCTTCAAAAGATTAACGAGGAGGTATTTCCTTACTAGGTAGTAAAACATTTAATGCTAGAATTGTAAAACCAGTGTGGTATTTACATGGGCATAGCCAGACAGAAAAGTGACACAGAATAAAATCTAGACAAAGGACTATTAAATGTATACTTTAAATTTTAGTGTCTGATAAAAAGAATAATATAGATCATTTGGGAACATATGAAATATTTAAAAATTGAAACTGATTTTCATATAGTCAACCATGTGAAAACAAAGCAAAATCCGGGTGGAAGAAAGAGCCATCAATAAAATTGAAAGAATCTAAAAAAAAAAGAAAAGAGTGATGAAAAAAATGCTGTGTAAACCATGGGGATTTTACACTCATCAAATTATCAAATTAATAGATATTACGTGTTCAGTCATTCAGTAAATAAGTGTATAGCATAGGAATGCTCGTCAGAAATGCATCTACCCTTTGACTCAGTGATTCCACTTTTAGGAATTTATCCTTAAAAAAAAATTATTGGTACGAACACTAAGGATGTTCATCAGGTTGATATTTATAATAGCAAAAATACCTGAAAATAATCTTAAATGTCCAACAGTATGAAATAACATGATGATAAAGGGTGTAATGAAATATTCTACAGATAGGTTAAGTTCCAAGGTAAATCCTGTTAGAATTATTAAAATACATTAAAATTTTAGATTATTTTGTGGAGAATTGTCTGTCATCATTACCACATTGAATCTTCTTGTGGAAGACTATACTTATGGACTGTAATTATGTAGAATGTGTACTATAACTAAGAATATTTTATATTCTTCAATAAAGATACATTTTCCTACAAAAATCTTACCCATCTTATTTAGTCCTAGGTCCTTTATATTTTTTCTTACAATTTTTATTTTGTAAATAGTATGTTTTTAAATCATTCCCTAGCTAATAGTTGCTGGTCAGTGGTAAGACAGTTTTCATATACTGATCTAGTAATGGGCAATCTTATCTACTTCATATGTAGATAGTTGTTTTGTCTACAAATAATGGCTTCTCTTCCAATCCTAATATCTTATTTTCCCCATGTTTTTTGCACTGACTCAGCATCAGCATAGTGCTTCATAGAAGTAGTAATAGTGTATATTTTTGTTAATTTCATTCAGGGGGACTATTTCTGAGATTGTTATTGTTGGATGTTTCCTGTGAGTTGTTTGAAGATACCTTTTTTGGTTGTTTTTAGTAATGACAAGTTAAATTATTATTATTTTATTTTTTTGAGACAGAGTCTCACTTTGTTGCCCAGGCTAGAGTGAGTGCCATGGCATCAGCCTAGCTCACAGCAACCTCAATCTCCTGGGCTCAAGCAATCCTACTGCGTCAGCCTCTCGAGTAGCTGGGACTACAGGCATGCGCCACCATGCCCGGCTAATTTTTTGTATATATATTTTTAGTTGGTCAGTTAATTTATTTCTATTTTTAGTAGAGATGGGGTCTCGCTCAGGCTGGTTTCCAACTCCTGACCTCGAGCAGTCTGCCCCCCTTGGCCTCCTAGAGTGCTAGGATTACAGGAGTGAGCCACAACGCCCGGCCAGTATGACAAGTTAAATTTTATTGAATGCTTTTCCTGCATCTATTGCATTATTTTTCTCTGTTGATAAGTTGATATGGTGTATTACTTGAGAAAATATGTTAATTGGCCTTTTAATTTCTCATACTGTCCTTGCCTGGTTTGAGTATCTAGTTTATACCAGCTTCATAAAAGAAGTTTAGGACCTTCTTCTCTTTCTCTGCTATCTAGAACTTTATATAAAATGCAGATTGTTTCTTGAAATTTGATAGCATTTGCTTAAAAAAACTTGATGTTTTGGGTTTGTGTGTAGGTTTTTAAGAACGAATTCAATGTCTTTAATGATTTTTAAATCCATTCAGGTTTTCTGGGGTTTTCTTTTTTTTTTTGAGACAGAGTCTTGCTTTGTTGCCCAGGCTAGAGTGAGTGCCATGGCGTCAGCCTAGCTCACAGCAACCTCAGACTCCTGGGCTCAGGCAATCCTGCTGCCTCAGCCTCCCGAGTAGCTGGGACTACAGGCATGCGCCACCACGCCCGGCTAATTTTTCCTATATATATTAGTTGGCCAATTAATTTCTACTTATAGTAGAGACAAGGTCTCGCTCTTGCTCAGGCTGGTTTTGAACTCCTGACCTCGAGCAATCCGCCTGCCTCAGCCTCCAGAGTGCTAGGATTATAGGCGTGAGCCACCGCGCCCGGCCTCTGGGGTTTTCTTTGAAGTTGGTTTTCCTAAGTTATATTTTCTAAGAAACTCTGCTTTTTTCATTAGGTTTTCTGTTTCTCAGTTCAATTTATGGTAATAACATTAATTTTATTCTCTACATTTTATTAATTATACTGTATGTACAATATATGTACAGTAAAACACAAATCATAAGTTTTTAACTTAGTGAATTTTTATATTCACATATATCTGTGAAACCACCACCTAAATCAAGATAATTGAAATCTTTCCAGCACTCCAGAAGGCTCACTCTTGCCCTTTCTATTTTGTTTTGTTTTGTTTTGAGACAGAGCCTCACTCTGTTGCCTGGGCTAGAGTGCCGTGACTGCCGTGGCATAAGCCTAGCTCACAGCAACCTCAAACTCCTGGGCTCAAGGAATCCTCCTGCCTCAGCCTCCTGAGTAGCTGGGACCACAGGCATGCGCCACCATGGCTAGCTAATTTTTTCTATATATTTTTAGTTGGCCAATTAATTTGTTTGTATTTTTAGTAGACATGGCGTCTTGCTCTTGCTCAGGCTGGTTTTGAACTCCTGAGCTTGAGCGATCCTCCCGCCTTGGCCTCTCAGAGTGCTAGGATTATAGACGTGAGCCACCACGCCCGGCCTTGCCCTTTCTAAATATGTTCCCATATGGCTTTGGGTCCACAAGTATGCATTTCTGTTCAGTGTGCCTAGGAGTAGAATTTGGTGGATAACGGTGTACACGTTATGTTCAGCTTTATTAGATACTGCTAACCAGTTTTCCAGAGTAATTGTATCAGTTCCCCACCAAGTGGTATATGCGAGTTCCAGTTGCTCCACATCCTCACTAACACTTGGTATTGTCAGGTGTTTGGTTTTTTAGTCATTTAAGTGATATACAGTACTGATGACTCACTTGGGCTTTATTTTTCATGTTTATTAGACCTTTGAATATCCTCTTTTTGAAGTGCCCATTTTAAAAGTTGGGTTGTCTCATCTTTCTAATTGATGTATAGAAGTTCTTTGTAATCTTGAGTACAACTTCCTTTCTTGGATATATATGTATTCAAGTACTTCTCACACTTTAGGGTTTACTTTTTTTCACTTTTGTAAAACTGTTTGTTGATGAGTAGCATTTGTTAATTTTAATGAAGTCTGATTTATCAGTCCTTTCTTTTGTGGTTGTTTGTGTCCTGTTTAAAGAAAGCTTTAAAATTTTGGAAATTTGTTGAGCCCCAGCTAATCCAACTAAATAGAGACAAAAATCTATAGAGGTGGAGCCTAGATGTCTATAGTTCAAAACCCTTAGGGTGATTTGGATGTGTAATCCAGGGTAAAGGAATCACTGGTTTTGTTGATAGAATTCAGTCATAAGAGCCTCTACAATAAGTGCCCAGCCTAGCTTTGCCACTTCCATTTCCTGTTCTTCCAGTGTGTACCCTGACTTCAACCAAATGTGATGACTTGCTAATACTACTCTCTCCTGTCTTCTTTATTCTTGCTTTCAAGTTTTACTTTTATTTCTTCGCCACATTTCTTGCTCAAATTGAAAGTTTCTTGAAATTTTCTGAGAAAAAATTTGCACTTATAGTATTTAAAATGTTACATTAGTTTATGTTTACTTCTTTATGTATCTTCTGTCTACCAGATGGTAAATTCCTTGAGGATGAGGACTATGGTTTAGCTATCTCTGTAGCCTCCAGATTTATTATAATGAAACCTGTTCAATAAGCATTTTTGACAGAGGATTAAAGAAGCACCTTTTCAAGTATTTGTTAATTTTTACTGCTGAATTTTTCTAACCAAAATCTTCTGATTTAGAGTAAAATGAAAAAAATGAAGGAAAAATACAAAGACCAGGATGAAGAAGAGCGTGAACTTATCATGAAATTACTGGGGGTACGTAACATGTAAAAATATTTATTTTGTTTTTAAATGGGCATCCAGCCCACTGCCTAACATGATAGACATTCAATACTTTTTTGTTAAAATATTGACAACATTGAAAATACTAACATTAATTGATCTTTCAATTAATTAAAGTCTGCAGGTTCAAACAAAGAAGAAAAAGGAAAGAAGGGGAAGAAAGGAAAAACAAAGGATGAACCTGTGAAGAAACAGCCCCAGAAACCCAGAGGTGGGCAGAGGGTTTCTGATAGCATTAAGAAAGAAACTCCATCTCTTGAGCTTATAACCCATGAATTACAAGATTTAGCTGTAGATGATCCACATGATGACAAGGTAAGGCTACTACACATGTGGGGTTTTGCTTCTTTTAGGGTGACTAATCATCCCAGGGTTCTCAGGACTTGGGACTTAAAGTGCTAAAACCAGCACTAGTAGTAATCCTACTCTTAATGGAACATTCTCTCAGAAATACAACCTGAAAGACTAAAATTGCATTATCCAAAAATAATAATAATGTTGACTGCTGATACAAAATTTATCACAGCCTTTAAAAAATAATTTTATGAAGAGGCTTTGATTCTGATGGGAACTGACTTAGTGAAAGTAAGAGAATAGAATTGAGATTGTCCTGAAGATGAGTGGAAAATAAGTTTTCACTTCTCTAAGCTTTTCTGTAGGAATCTGTTATATTCTTAATGTTGAAAATGGGTATACAGTTAAAGTGCTAAGTACTCTCATTGTAAAACCAGTAAGAAGTTTGTATTTTTCCAGCTGTGATTGCCGAATTGTTTTATGAGCCGAGTATAAGCCTAGTCTTAGGCCTTCTTACATGAATATTTATATCTTCTTGAAATTCTGAGTTATTTTAATAGCTTTGATTAAAATCAAATCAGGCTGAATCAAAAATTTTTATTTTCGTCACCAGCATTGTCTTTAAAGCTTGAGTTATAATTACAGTTTATTACAAATAATGCTTAGAGATTGTATATTGCCATTTTCTTTTTTTTCCTGAACAGTGTTGTTTAGTAATACTTAAATTCATTTTAGCTCTCAAGTATTTACATTATTCCTATAGTCTGTAATTTATTCTGTAAACTCTATACTTGTAAATATTCATTAGACTAAGGTGGTAATTATGAACATTCTATTGATACCCCCCAAAATTCATATCCTGGAACCTACATACGCAATGTGATAGTATTAAGAGGGGGGAGCCTTTAGAAAATGATCGAGTCATGAGGGCCCTTACAAAAGAGGTTGAAGGGAGTGCCCTTTCGCCATGTGAGGACACGGCAACAAGGTGCCATCTTTGAGGCTCACCAGACACTGAATCTTTTCACCTTGGACTTTCCAGCCTCCAGAACTGTGAGAAGTAAATTTCTGTTTATAAATTATTCAGTTTAAGGTATTCAACCTGGACAGACTAAGACAGTAAGTTATCTCCAGATTTTTTCTTATGTAGATAAGCAACCACAATTTTTTGGGGGGGTGGGGTGAATAGAGGAACTCAGATGGAGGGCAACCGCAATTAAGAATATCTTAGTATGTGAAAAATTTATCCTAAAACTGCTGAACAGAGATTTAAAAAGTTCTGTTTACCAGAATTCTCCATCATCTTTTTTCCTGGCAAACATGTCAACCTTAGTTGACATTTCAGATTGACCCTATAACTTTCACTGTTTTAGCATATACTTTATGTGAAAGTTTGGGGTTTTTCCCCCACTTCAGAGAACCATCCTTTTTCTCTTTGAATAGCATTGCCTGTTAAGTATTAAATACACACGTGTACACACACATTCACGTCAGAGTCTTGGAGCACTGAAGAATACATCGTGAGGCCCCTATCCTGTGGGTTAGATATGACAGTATTGTTACATCACTGCTTTCTCTTCATGGTTTAATGGTATGGAATTTCATTTTAAGTTAGAGCTGACTTTTATTTTTATATGTTGGAACAGGAAGAACAAGATCTGGATCAACAGGGAAATGAGGTATGATTTTGTGTTGGGGTTCCTACTACAACACTCTCATTGCAATCCAGTTCCAAGAATATTTGATACACAATTAATTAAAATGTAAAATGTTAAGACTGCAGACTCCAGAGTCAAACGTTCTGGGTTTTAATCCCAACTCTGCTATATGTAACTGTGTGAACTTGGAAACATTATTCTTTGTGCCTCAGTTATTACCTCATGTAAAAAATAGGGATAATAACTGTCCCTACCAAGAGGGAGTTGTTTCGAGAAGATAATGTATGTTAAGGGCATTTAGAAAAGTTCATGGCACATAGCAAATATTCAATTATCAATTACAGTTCAGCACCAAGCATTTTGTCCTAAATCCTAAATTTACTCATATTGTTAAACAAATGGGGCAATCTTGTCAGCAGCCTGCCAAATGAGAACTCATAAGAGGCCTGGGATTTCTCCTTCAAGAAGAAAAAACAAAAGGCTATTCTAGCTCGGGGATTCTCAACTTTGGCTCTATAAACATGAGATGGTTAATTTTTTTGTTGGGGAAGGCTGTCCCATGCATTATAAAATGGTTAGCAACATCCCTGGCTTTTACCTACTAGATGCCAATAGCACCTACTACCCCTTCCACCGATCCTACCCCTCACTGTGACAACCAGAAGTATTTCTAGACAATGTCTCCTCAAGGACTATGGTAGACAACCACTGGACTAGCCCCAAAGTATCAGTCACATTTTCATGCAGTGGGCCTTAAATACATTTGTGATCATTACTGTAAATCATTTTAATGCATAGTAGTTTTCTGCAACTTAAGTAATATCCAGCAAATTTTTCCCTCTTTCTCTCTTTTTTTTGTTTGAGACAGTCTCATTCTGTTGCCTGGGTTAGAGTGCTGTGGCGTCAGCCTAGCTCACAGCAACCTCAAACTCCTGCGCTCAAGCAATCCTTCTGAACAGTTGGGACTACAGGCACGTGCCACCATGCCTGGCTAATTTTTTCTATATGTTTTTAGTTGGCCAATTAATTTCTTTCTATTTTTAGTAGAGACGAGGTCTTGCTCTTGCTCAGGCTGGTTTCGAACTCCTGACCTTGAGCAATCCTCCCGCCTTGGCCTCCCAGAGAGCTAGGGTTACAGGTGTGGATTACACTGTGCCCAGCCCCCCCTTTCTCTTAACTGTATCTATAGGTTGCATTTTGAAAACCATTGTTTTCATTACTTATTACACTAGGCAAAAATTAAGCAGTAAAGAATAATATATTTAAGCATTAGTCTTTAACTCTTTGGAACTTTAAAGCAGAGTTTAAGCACTGCTGCTATTCCTATTTAAATTATATGCCTATCAGAAAAGGATAAAATATATTGAGATATTAATTCAACAGTGTTTTAGCACATTCCTTTAAGACTCATATAAATTATATAATTGTTTTTATCTTCTCTTTTTAGGAAAATCTATTTGATTCTTTGACAGGGCAACCACATGCTGAAGATATACTACTGTTTGCTATTCCAATATGTGCTCCTTACACCACCATGACAAACTATAAGTAAGTCGACAGTAGTTTACTTAAAACAGTTGACACAATGACTTTTATGAGTTGTTTTCTAATTTCTATTTAGTTACACATGCAATTCTTCTTTTTAAAGATACAAAGTGAAGCTTACTCCTGGAGTTCAGAAAAAGGGAAAAGGTATTTAAATTTTTTTTCAAAATATTTTAAACAGTTCACTGATTGAACAGAAGTAGATTCTTTGTTTTCTATTTACAGCTGCAAAAACAGCCTTGAATAGTTTCATGCATTCCAAAGAAGCAACAGCAAGAGAAAAAGACTTATTCCGCAGTGTAAAGGTAAAGTTTTCCTTCAGAAAAGGAAAGTATGGAGATTAGTTGTACAATTAAAAATGTTAACAGTTATTTTCTATTTTGGTAAAAAATGCTGTCTTACTAAAAGCAGTGAAATTATTTCAGCTAAAAATTTTGGAAATTCCTTTCTTTTGACAGCAGAGGATACATAATTGTCATAAAAGAAACATGATTGACCATTTAGAATGTGAAGATATTCAGCAATTTTCTTTTTTTAGGACACAGACTTATCGAGAAACATTCCTGGCAAAGTGAAAGTATCTGCACCCAATCTTCTGAATGTAAAAAGGAAATAGCTGAAATGAAATCCTAAAATATTTAAGAAGAGCCAATTTTAATATACTTTTGGAAGTTCAAAGATGAAAACGCCATGTAACAGGACTTCTGCATTTAAAAATGAACTAAACATTGCCTTGCTATATTCGCCAAAAGGACTTAATTCTTGTTTTTTCCAGTTTTATATAGAAGAAACACTGTCTATGATATTTGTGGATAGTTAAATGCTAAAACATCTGTAGTTATTCTACATTTTCTTGAAATTTGGGAGGTTAATTCTTAGTACTCATTTTACAATGTAAAGAAATTGAACAGTGAAGTAGCTCTATTGCTTAAAATCTACTGTATATAACATCTAATATATGTCTATTACAGGCCAATTTACAAGGGTGTTTTTCTTGTTGGGGCTGGGGCGGTTAAACATTTAAGGATTGTGTCTTGAAAACCCTAAGTATTGGAGTAGAGTGGATTTTCTTCTGCCTTCACCTATACTTGTCAAAAAAAGTATTAGACCAAATGTAAAATACAAACAATTCTCATGATTCAGCTTAAGAAATAATTCCTAGAAGAAATTGGTGTTATTTCTATGCATTTATATACCTTCAGTCTTCATATTAATTTTCTTGTAATCGCATTCATTTCTGTACCATTTTAATTTCTACCTCTAGTAATTATCCTAGCATGATAGAGTATCTTAACGTATAACATCAAAAGTGCACTTCAATATCACCTATAGTCAACATGACCATGTGCCCCAGCTTCTACACTGAAGGAAGCATTTACAAATAGCTATAGGTCACTCTATGATTTCTTTGATCAGCTTAGTCCTATTGGATATTTTTCCATTTGAAATTAATGTAAAAAAAACCTCTTTATTAATGTTGTATTTATGATGCTAGGCTATATAATAGACTGACTACTCTTACCATTAAAAAAATCTAAAATTTTAATGTTTTTAAAAAATAACTTTACCATTTCATAATGGTAAGACTGTTTCATATAATGTTTGTATATTCTGAAGTTACCAAAAAGGAAATGTAATAACCATTCTTTGGGGGTAAAAAGCCCAAGCATTAATTTTCTTTTAATAGCGGACTGTTACTGGTGTTAAATACATTTATTGTAAACTTTAGACACAAAAATAGGTTCTCTAGGCCATTCACATGCACATTAAAACCAAAAAGCTGCCAACTACAACAATGCATATAATTATACAAATGATGCCACTCTAACGTTTACAGGTCTGCTGTCCATGCAAGGTTATCAGAGGTATTATCTATGAAGCCTTAAGATCCAGAAGTGTTGTTACTACCAAACCTCTGATTGACACTGTGAAGTAAGTGTTTTGGAAGGCAGTTCCATGCGTTGGCTAACATTTCTTTAAAGCAAATGACTGCTTCTAAGCTTAGCCTGAAAGTAGACAAGGAAAGAGAAAAATAATTTCACTTTACTATTTAGAAGTATTTACTTGAACTACAAAAATAAATAAATAAATAAATAAACAAAAAAAACGTAAACAAAAAAACTTTCTTTGAAGAGTTTCACAGGAACTGGTTAGTTATATCAATGAAGACTCATCATTGACCTTAAGTGTCAAGAAACACAATGCAAAATAATCTAAGTGCCAAGTAAATAGTTACTCACCGTACAAGAGATTTTGGTTGAACTGAAAATATAAGTATTTCATTACTGTGTGCCTGAAAAATAGATATGAAGAGTACATTAAAAAGTGCTTCACACACCAGTTTGTGTAATAATATGAAGTGGTATACTTACAGCTCTGTGATGGACAAGCAGATTGTTGGCACACCCACCAAAAACAATTACTTCTCCTTCATCACTGGCACAAGCTGTATGCCATAACCTGCATTAAAAACAAAAACTTGAGTTTGAAGTCACCCAAACAACCACACTGATCATGTACACTACAGAATAGAGCTAATTAAAGACCAGAGATCTTAAGGTCATTCAGACCAAAACATCATGGTGGTAAGTAAAATCTTAAGAAAAAGTAGCAAAAGTTTTTTTTTTTTTTTTTAAATCTATTTTATCTAGATATTTTTTCTCTCTGGTCTGGTCCTCATTTATGCAATGAGGGGATTGAACTGAATGATCTGTTCTCTAGGTCTTTGTTAGCAATAAAAATCTTATGGGAGCTGAATAATATATGCCCTCTCCTTCTTCCATAGACACATTGGCCTTATACAGAATATGTGAGGGATGCCGATGCTGAAAGCCTGGTAATTCTATGGAAAGATATTTGTGCAAATGAAATCTTAGGTGGCATGACTACTTGGGTTAGAGGCTTGGGGAAAAAAATAGAGGCTGGCCTATGTGCTTTGAACACCAATTTTGACTATTATTTCCTTTAGCAATTCTTTTTAAGATTAATAAGAGAAATAACTCAATGTTTAAGTTCTTTTGAATGATTCTACTCCTTAACTTTTGTTAGACAAATCTGATCAACAGTTTTTGATCTTTTTTTCATGTATATATATTGTTTTAGATTTTAAAATGCCTTTCCAGTCTTTTCCCCCAACCCCACCCTTTTTATTTATTTTTTTGAGACAGAGTCTCGCTTTGTTGCCCAGGCTAGAGTGAGTGCCATGGCGTCAGCCTAGCTCACAGCAACCTCAAACTCCTGGGCTCAAGCAATCCTCCTGCCTCAGCCTCCCAAGTAGCTGGGACTACAGGCATGTGCCACCATGCCCGACTAATTTTTTCTATATATATTAGTTGGCCAATTAATTTCTATATATATTAGTTGGCCTTCTTTCTATTTATAGTAGAGACGGGGTCTCGCTCTTGCTCAGGCTGGTTTTGAACTGACCTCAAGCAATCCGCCCGCCTCGGCCTCCCAGAGTGCTGGGATTACAGGCGTGAGCCACCGCGCCTGGCCATCCCACCCTTTTTAATGACAAACATAGATACAGTTCATCTTACTCAGGTAAAAAGCTTGATTATAAATTTTAACTAAATCAATAATTTTATGATAATGGAAGGAAGAAGCAAAAACAAAAGTCCAGCCCTATTCTTCATACATAGATGGAAAAAGAAAGTATTTGATAATAGGGTAACAATGGTTTTCTTTTCCTTGAGAAGTATGATGTCAAACCTTAGCAAATGCTAGGATTTCTTGTTTTGTTTTTTTTTTGAGACAGAGTCTCACTTTGTTGCCCAAGCTAGAGTGAGTGCCATGGTGTCAGCCTAGCTCACAACCTCAAACTCCTGAGCTCAAGCAATCCTACTGCCTCAGCCTCCCAAGTAGCTGGGACTACAAGCATGAGCCACCATGCCTGGCTAATTTTTTCTATATATATTAGTTGACCAATTAATTTCTTTCTGTTTATAGTAGAGACGGGGTCTCACTCTTACTCAGAGCTGGTTTCAAACTCCTGACTTTGAGCAATCCACCCGCCTTGGCCTCCCAGAGTGCTAGGATTATAGACGTGAGCCACCGCGCACGGCCAAATGCTAGGATTTTTATAAATAAGAATGGTGGATATAATGCAGCCAGAACTTCAGTTCTTACTAGTCTTAGTCTTTAAATAGTTCATACCTTGGTTTTTCAGAATAGGGATGATTAAACTGTATCCATTCATTTTTACTGATGCAGTAAGTCCAGGCGTCACCTGATTGAAACAAAGAAAAAAGAGCTATGAAGTATATTATGTTATTCTGTTAATATGACATTGACACTTAAAGGGCACAGCTTTAACAACTAAAATAATACATTAGATCATGAGTACATATAGAAAGTATATTTCCTTTTTTTTTTTCCTCTGCAATTAACTAAATAAGCCCTTTAAGTACTGCAGGCCATTTCTTTAGTGAACATAATAGAAGTATGTCATGTATGTATAATTATAGGTATGTTATATGATCAAGATTAATATCAAACCTTCCAACCAACCCCATAAGCCCTCTCATATATCTTTAATAGACTGATTTTCAGCTATTTATTCTATATAGATGATATATGATGATTTCATTATCATATTTTTAAGGGACTTACTTAGAGGCTGTTTATCAGTGGTAAATCCTCCAAAGAGAAAAAGATGATCTGAAGAAACTGGTGTTAGTGAGTGCCAAGATCGGCCAACTGGGCATATGCCTTGTGGAATTCTGAAAATAATAGCTAAGTTACAATATCTATGATTAAAATCAGCTACTGCATGTAATACAGAAAAACTGAAGTTTTCTTTTAAAATTTATATGGAATTATTATGAAAAAAGACTAAAAACTTTAATTGTGTGCTTTACACTGAACTATTTTCTTTGAAAGCACAACTTTAGACCTTTTTGCAACAAACAGTGAGCATATGCCATGTGCCAGGGACACAGTTAAGGGAACTGAAATCAGAATTCCTTAAGGACCTAGTAATCATGCTTACTTATATTCATAATTACAGAAAAGTTAAGCCAAGTATATTATATACTGATAATAGGGGAAAAGGTAAAAATTGGGAAAACTTTTGTAAATAACCTAAAGTGATACCTACAATTCATTCCACTCCCATGTATCCAGATTAAGATAGTGAAGATCATTCATTCTAGCATCCTAAAAAAAAGGATGATTGAATCATTATTTTGAAGAATTCAAAAGCAATCATTGAAACTGTTTATGTACTCACTCGGTATCTGCCTCCAAACACAAAGCCTTTGTTTCCAACAGTTGCACAGGCATGGGCAGCGCGAGGTGAAGGTGCTTTACCCTAATAAAAAGTTACACAAGCAACTTAGTAAAGGAGTCAGCTTTTTATAAATGGAGGGAAAATATCAGTCTTCTCTGGATATGGGATAAGAATATGCAAGATACTTGAGCTTTTAAAAGCTGAAGTGCAGATGTTGAGTCAGCAGTACTGAAAGCTGACTACCAAGCTGGGGATTTAATTGTATATTTTTGAGATGTGTTACTAAATAGGCTGGTTAATATAACAGAAAGGTTGTTTTTTTTTTTTTTGTTTTTTTTAATTTTTTTTTTGAGACAGAGTCTCACTTTGTTTCCCAGGCTACAGTGAGTGCCATGGCGTCAGCCTAGCTCACAGCAACCTCAAACTCCTAGGCTCAAGCAATCCTGCTGCCTCAGCCTCCCGACTAGCTGGGACTACAGGCATGCGCCACCATGCCCGGCTAATTTTTTTTTCTATATATATTAGTTGGCCAATTAATTTCTTTCTATTTATGGTAGAGACAGGGTCTTGCTCTTGCTCAGGCTGGTTTTGAACTACTGACCTTGAGCAATCCGCCCGCCTCAGCCTCCCAGAGTGCTAGGATTACAGGCGTGAGCCACCGCACCCGGCCTATTTTTTAATCTTTTAAAATAAAGACCACATTTTATAATATCTGGGGAAAAAATCTAATATTTAAGTAATATATATTCCAACGTAGTGCTAGGTTAATTACAGGTTGAGTATCCCCACTCTTCAGTCTGAAACTTTTGAGCAACAGCATGACACTCAAAGGAAATGTTTGTTGGAGCATTTTGGATTTCAGATCTTTGGATTAAGGATGGTTAGCTGGTAAATACATAACGCAGATATTCCAAAATCTGAAACACTCCTAATTCCAAGCATTTCGGATAAGGGATACTCAACCCATTTGAGCAATAGCAGCTACCATTTAGCATAATAGATGCTGGGTTAGTCCCTTCATATATTCCTTAAACTTTTCTGATTTCCAGATTCTTTGGGAACAGTGAAACCTATGGATCTTCTCTTTCCAGAAAACAAGAATAAGCTGTAAAATTTATAACACCTCCTAACTCTGGTATATCCCCCTCCTCCTCTAAGTGGCCTTGCTTTAATAATTCATTGTTCTTCAGTAACTCACAGTAGTTATAGGCTGGCTCCAGATGAATGTTTCAGTGTCTAAAATATGTACATGGTCATTCCATCCTCTTGGATGACTTGAATTCTACAGAAAATAAGAATCTAAATTATTTTATAAGTAATGTTTGTAAAATTACATAGCCCCTGATTTATTAACAAGGAAAAATGAAGAAAACTACTTGCAAACATAAAGTGTATTTCAACATAGGCCATATGCAAATATGAAAACTTCACTTACCCAAAAAGATGTTTCATCAAATTCAAAAGTTCCCAACACTTTATCTTCAGGTAAATATCCATATCCTCCAAAAAATATTAGCCTGTTTGATAAAAAAGACATTAAAAACTCAAACATCCAAAGGATAGGACACAAGGGATTTTTCTTTTTGTCTTATTACATTAACTGCCATGTGAGTTATATTTAACTCATGCTAGTTTTGAGCCCAGGGCCTAGTGAAGTGTATATAACTCACAAATCTCTTTACTTTGAGAGCTGTGTGAACTATTTTTCAAGTTGCATATAACTCACGCACAGAAAACAAAAATAAATTTTCATTAAATTAGAAAGGATACTTTTGTTTTTGAAGTTTTTATTCTGGTTTCATAATAAACCACCATGGCCCCAAGAAAAAATTTTTTTTCCTAGTGTGGCAATCAATGTGTTATGTATGTATTAAGAAGGTACACTTGAGTATATGAAAATACTTAATTCAAATAAAAATGGCTAACAACTATGTCTTAGGTGCTATGTTAAATGCTTTCATTTATTAATTCATTTAATACGGGCCTATGAGGTATGTTCTATGCTTATTGGCTGAAGACACCTGAATGTTAAACTCTTTCCACATAAATAACCCAAACCTATAGTTCTACTAACTTACTTGTTTTTATATACCCAGACACCAAGTTTGTCCTTTGATGATGGAGGAACTCCTTGGCAATCAATTCTTTCCCACTGTAACACTCTGTCTGTAGACCTTGAATCCAGCATGTAGAACTGTCAGAAGCAATGATTTCTGTTAGATGTGGTAATGTGAAAGAAATTCAACTTTAGCGTTTAATTTTACTGTGATTTGTGATAAGAATGCCATCTAATTCATCTAATGCTACTGAAATTGTGACTGCAGAGAGGCTACAGACTCATCTGTGTCTAGATTAGGAATTTGTGACAGAATATAAATTTCCTAAGTCACTAAGCACACTGTTGGTTCAGCTAGTTTTTTTTCCCCATAGCCCCACCTTTTTAAAAATCTAGATCATTTATTGAATGTCTATAGAGCAATAAATTATGAAAATATACAAATATACAGAAAAGTATACTTAGAATATTAGTCATGACATTATATGTTTGAAATTTTTCATGATATGGCAAAAAATAGGGATTGGGAATAGCTAAAGTCTAAGTATGGCAAACACAGCCACACCTCTTTGATGAAGGAATCGCAGTGCATTCATTTACATCGTACAAGCTTTTTTTGCCTTAGGTAGGCACTCTACTGATCTAATTTATGGGTATCAAGATGGTTTTACAAAAAATGTCAGGTTTGCAATTTTACCTTCAAATTCAATTTAACAGATACATCTTCAGTGCCTATTTAATTCTAGGAGCTAAGGATCAATACTTGAAAGATTAAAAGGTGGTTTATCCTTCAAAGGATGAATATATATATATATATATAGTTTTTACTTCTTTTCAACACTCAAGCTTTCTTTCTGTCAAATTTAAAACACTCAACCCCATTTGACATACTAACCTACTATGATTTCTGTAACTACCCCCTAAAACCTCAGTTTTTCCCCTTCCCAACCTTCCTCAAGTTGCAAAGTTACTCCCTCCCCCCGCCCCCCGGCTTTGAAGAATACATAGCTCAACTACAGCCTGTAGATGAGATGTGCCTCACAAAATATTTTCAGCAAAGAAACTTTCTTCAAGCAAAACATTAATCAAAAGCCCAATATATAAAAACAAAACTGGAGCTACAATTGTTAAAATGGAGGGAAGGGCAGCCCACCTAATACCATATGCTCTTCCCACAAGTGCCCCAAGGCATCTCAAATCTTTAGAATTTCTAGGAGCAAAGTATGAAACCATCTTAACCATATATACAAAACCTGTAAATCACTTGGCATTTCCATAAACGAGACATATTTTGCTTATATCTCTGCATCTTGGCTACCCCTTCCATTTTTATTCAATTCAAGCATCGCCTCTTAATGATCCTACCAAACACAATGTCAAAGACTCTTGCAAATTCAGTGATATTTACTGAGTTAAGTCCTATGTACCAGGCTGTGTCTTGGATGCTACTGCATGGTTTACTTATTATATATGTCCCTTCCAGAACGTGAGCTTCTAGAGGTGGAGACTATTACAGTTTGTTCATCTGTCTCCAGTGTCTGACCAAGTGCTTAGCATGTAAGGTGCTTACTAAGTTGTCAAATAAATGAATTGATAAGCATCTACCTATATATCATATGTATCTTTCTGACTAACTGCATCTGTCTCTTACTGACCTGAAAGAGAATAAGTGACAACTTTTCCTATTTGGAAACAAATATGGACCAAGTCTGAACAGCAGTGTCTTAGAGCACAATATTATTGGAATGTCAATATGTAAAATTTTGTCTGTCTGTGTTAATTTATCTAACACTTATAGGTTCTAAGACAACAATTAGCTATAAAGAGCACAAACAAAAACCTAGGAAGTTACTCTACACAAGTTACCAACACAATTTGATTTTACAAAAGGCCTAGGTAAATACAGACTGGTAGACACAATAGTAAAATGCACATTCATACTATAATCTTAACCAAGACAGAAATAAGTATAGGGCTAACCTTAGAAATCTGAGGTTTGAAAGAGAATGAGAATAAAATTGACTTGAACCATAATCCCTAGAAACACTAACCTTATTTGTATTGCCTCTTGAATGGTGTCCTCCAAACAAGTACAGCACTCTATCTACACACACAGCACAGCTTCCTGACATAGAAGGAGGAACATCACCTTCAGTGTTAATTTTTTTCCTGAGGGCAGTAAAAACTGAATATAAGTAAGTTTACCAAATGGAAGAAATGCGATAATCGATTAGGTTTTCTTCTACTTATCCCCACAATAAAGGAAAAAATAAAAGGAGAGGGCTGACTAGATAGTGTCTAGGGTCTCTTCCAGCTCTAAATTTTAATTCAAGGAATGCACTTTTCCCTCTTTACCCATTCCACAGGCAATGCCAGCTGGTCCTACATGTACAGGTATAATGAGAGGTCTGAAAGCTTAAGTTTCTTATTTTTTTATTCTAGAAACATACCATTTTATTTTTCTCAAACTAAATCATTTGCTTTTTATGTACATGGCCATAAGTGGTTCATCGTTTTTGTTTTTTGAGTAGGCCAGAAACCTCAACATTCCTAGTTGGGACAGATTAATTCAGTTACCTTTTAGCCATTCAAATCAATCTGATATAGTCCTTTTTTTTTTTTTTTTGAGACAGGGTCTCACTCTGTTGCCCAGGCTAGAGTGCCATGGTGTTAGCCTCGCTTACAGCAACCTCAAACTCCTGGGCTCAGGAGATCCTCCTGCCTCAGCCTCCCAAGTAGCTGGGACTACAGGCATGTGCCACCATACTAGGCTAATTTTTTCTAGTTGGCCAGTTAGTTTCTATTTTTAGTAGAGGTGGGGTCTCCCTCAGGCTGGTCTCGAACTCCTGACCTTGAGCGATCCGCCTGCCTCAGCCTTCCAGAGTGCTAGGATTACAGGCATTATTCAACACGCCAGGCCTGATACAGTCCTTTGTGTAATACTACAAACAGATAGCACTTACTATCGGTGTGTGCCAGGTATTCCTCTGAGTGTATGTATTCATTCTGAGCCAAAAAATTTTAATCTAAGAAATTATAAGATTCAGAATGTTAATAGTACATTTACGGTCTTCTGCTCACACTATCAGATACAATATTACTTTATCTTTGTTAAGCTTGAAGTTTTGGAAGGCTTATTTTAAGGGTTTTTTTTGTTGTTTTTTTTTTAATTTTTCTATAGAGACAGGGTTCTGTGTTGCCCAGGCTGGTCTCAAACTCCTGGCCTGAAGTGATCCTTCCTGCCTTGGCCTCCGAAAGTGCTAGGATTACAGGCATGAGTCACCACACCTGGCCTTATTTTTTTGTTAATTAAAATATATACATAGAATTCCTTTTTTAAGGGAATACAATTATAAACTTCCAATTCTGTAGAAAAAGATTAACAAACAGCTCATATTAACACTGATTTGCTATTTGCACAAATAATCCTGACATTTTAACTCTTAAATCAAGTGAAACTATTATTCTAGCTCTGAGGTCTATAATATGTAAAATATTTAAGTCACAAAGTTCTCACAGAGCAAACCATGGGGAAAACTACTTTGTAAATTCCCGAACATGGCTATAACCGGCATTTAGAGAAACACATTAATTCTACCAAGCACATATTCTTGACTACCACTGTTATGAGACCAGCAAAAGATCCTTTCAAATTATCCCCAATTTATATAGAAGGTACATTTAAGTTCGTATTGGTTTTTAAACAGAACATACTATTTTAAAGGGATTTAATTATAGAGTTCATTAAAATAGAATACCACCTTTATTTTTAGCAGCTAAAATTTCTAAACCTAAAATCCAACAAGTCTAACATCCTAAAATCCTTTTCTTATTCAAGATACCATATGACAAGACTTATAGTGTCTTGAAAATATATATGCAATTTTTATTATCTTTCCAGGATCTGGAACTAAGTACCTCTCTTTTAATATCACTATGATAATTTAGTTATACAGCCCTGAATAGAAATTTATTCCAAGGTCATAAAAGTAGTAATTGCAGAACTACTTCTAAAGAGATACTAAAGTATCTAAGTTTAACAGCTGAGCTAACCTAGAATATTTTTATAATATATAGATAGCTTAGCATCTTTAATTAAAATATTTTTATTCATCAGAATGGGTTTTACAACATTTTTCTTTGCAACCTTATTTGAATTTTTTAGTCCCTCTCATAATATCCAGTTACCATCTTCCAGTTTCCATGTTGTAGATCCATAGTTCTTCTCTAGGCAGATAAAAGTCATATAATCCTCTGACTTGATTACTCTAAGAAGAAGAATAAAATTGTAAATATTAAAAATAATTGATATTTAAAAGAGGCACTATTTTTTCCTGTCTTATTTTAAATATTAATTAGGAAATTGCCAGTTATGAAAAGTTAAATAGGTCTTACAATTATATTAAATGCATGATCCTACCTGACCCCTATGCCACATTGCTCAAGGTAAAGTTTAACATAGACAGCTCTGAATTAAAATTTTTGATACAATAGTGCAAGAAGTTAAGACGTCTCCAGGAACTCTCTAAGACTAGTTTGTCAGGAACAGATCATTACCGAATTTTAGTTGCATGACTTCAGAAGAGATTGCATATGCCATGGTCAGCAGACTATTTACTGAAAGCCTGACCTATACTAACTTATGATGTATGGCTGTCTAGCCAAGCTTTCCTTTCACTCTTTCTCTAAGAAGCAGGAGAGAGGGCAGAACTGCAAATCTGCAAATATTAAGTCCTTATACAAAATGTTAAGTTCCTTGTTCTGCTCCATTTCCCCTCAGGTATTAATTCCTAACAAATAGACTGAGCTTACCAGAGCTAAGTGCTGCTGTCCATGGATTGCTTTATTTAATCCTCACAACCACCCTAAAAAGTAGCTGCTAGCACAAGAAAATGAGTTTTTTAGAGAAGTAATTTGCCAGTGTTATTTAGCAAGTAATGTAGAGCCAGGATTCCATCCTTTCCCTGAACTTGGCCTAGTGCCTGGCATTTCCAGACTTTGATCCTCTCTGGCCACTTTCTAAACAATTTCAACATAACAGTAGTAAACAACTGCAGTTCACTGAAAATGGATGTCAAGAGTCTAATAAGCTTGAGCATTAAAAATACAGAAATAAAGCAGTTGGCCATGTAAACATTTCTCTTTCCGCTCCACCACTGACGAAGGGAAAGCTGGAAGCGAGACAGTGATCTGACACAGAGGTGACCAGCCAAGGCCGGTGGAGGGAAACTGACTACTATGCAGGAAGCTAAGGGTTATTGCCTCTGAAACAATCTCCAGGGCCTTCTGTGCCCACTCTCAGGCTTCCAGATATAAATGGGGAGAATAGGCTGTTTGGGAACTACCCAATTCAGTGATGGTGCTGCTCCAACCTCCCGCAGCCCCGGGACCTTATAAACCCACTATCAGAAATCTTCACCCTGGCAACCTCCCCACCCCGAAAGAAAAGTCCCATTCCCCAAATGTTGCTGATTTTTACAAATAGAATTATGAATAAAGTAGTTTAGACTGAAGTATGATTGATCAACAGGATTGCTTTTCCCTAGGGCAATTATTCACATTTTATATGGGTCCCTACATACCTGTCCCCTCCCTCCTTGCAGTTCCATATCCCTACCAAGTACTTTCCAAACACCTATTCACTGGAGGCTGGAGAAAACATTGCAGAAGAAGGTATCAGGACATTCTTTGAGAGCTATCTCAAACATGGTCAATTCTGATCAGGTCAACTGTACCAGAAGCTAAAACCGGTTAATAGAGTCACGAAGCAAGTCACCCAAGGCACCTGCATAGTGAACTAAATTTCAAGCAAATGGGGAGAGGGAGAACATTTTTAAAACCGAAGGGGAATAAAGCAAGTATTTTGTGGTAGGAATGGATCGCAGCCACTCCTGTAAATGAAAAAAGATAATTCTAGAATGTAGAGTGTTATTGGGAAGCTCTAAAAACAAAAGGGTAAGAGAACTAATGAGGAAGGTTTTAAATAAGAGACACCTGGGGTGGAGTCGCCAGCTAGGATTAAAGAGAAATGCAAGTGAACTGGTAACTAATCACTTTGTTTACACTGGTGGTGTGGCAGGGAAGAGTTGCACTCCGTAGTTACATTTGTTGCTGGGGATTTTTTGGTTACTAGTGGAGCTTTTCTGTTAATTTTTTAAATAGGCGTTTCTTCTGAAAAACTTCCAACTCTTTCTCAGCTGAAACCAGAAGGAAAATAGCCCTGAAATGTTCAAACCATAGCGTGATGCACATCTGCACAGGTCTAGCTAGGATTGCTGCACGGGCCGGCAATGTTGAATAAGGTGATTCCTGAGGCCTTCCGGACTTCCAGGGGTTTCTCCAACACCTCGCCCGCCCCATAAGCGGGGAACAGTCTCGGGGCCAGTTGGCCCCGGCTCCAGATAGCAAAGTCCTCCTGGGTAGTTCCGATAAAGAGTCTGAGCGATACCACACACTGTCATCTCTCTTACTCCCAACACTTTCAAATAAAACCGGTCTCGCTGTCATGCACCGCCCCACCAACCCTAACAGGGCCTTCCCCAGAATAACGCTGCAGAGGCAACAAGGGCGTGGGGGAAGCGGGCACTGGAAGCATAAGGTTGGTGTGACAACAGCCCTGGAGCCTTGGCACGGGTGGGAGGACTCGAGAGGAGACTCCCGCCGCTAGCAAACGAACCAACGGGCAAAGTCCGAGGGAGGGGAGCGCCCTCAGAGGCCCCCTCTGACCTCTCCGCCTGCCCGCGACCCGGCCCGGGTAACAGCCGAGCGGCGCCGCCGCGGCCCGGCCAGCCACTGACCTTGTACCCGCCCCAGACGAACATGTGGCGCCCGTCGCTGACGGCTACGTGGCCGCTGCGCTCAGCGGGGCAGGCGAGCTCCATGGACTCATAGCTCTCGAAGGCCGGCCCCGGCAAGTCGTCCGCCCGCAGGTCCTCGTTGCCATCAGCCATCTTTGAGGCTGCACTTTCGCTCACGAGGAATGCCCACACCCGCGACGGGAGAAAGAGACAAAGAAGACAGACAGAAATGCACGGCGGCGCGAGGCACAGAGAAGGCGGCAGCAGCGAGGGGGACGGCGTTGAGGCCTCCCTGCCCCCTGCGCTCGCGAGTCTCGGCCCGCCTCGGCCGAGGACGGCTCTCCGCCGCCGGGACGCGCCTGCGGGGAGCGAGGGGGCGGCGGGGGGCCAGGACCCGGAGCTCGCCGGGGACGGGGACCGCCTCAGGCCGGCTCCCTCTCACAGCCCACGCGCCCCGCCTCCAGCAGCTCACGGCCCTTGTTTACGCCGCGGCCGGAAGCCGCCCGCCCCGCTGACGCCGCCCGCCGGGCTCCGGAAGCGCGGCCGCCGTTCAGCGCCCCCAGCGCCCGGTCCTCCCGCCGCCGCCCGCGCCTCAGCCCCGGCCGGGCCCGGCGCTTCGTGCGCCCCGCCAGCTCCAGAGATGCCCAGCCTCCTTTCCCTGAGGAAACTGCAGGGACGGTGCCCTGAATCGTTCCCTGGAGACTGCTGAATTTTAGCCAGATTCCCGCAAGATTTTTGTTCTTCCCGAACATTTTTCTCCTTGTTTGAGGCATGTTCGCAAAGCGTTCAACAGCCTGGACAGGGGGGGCACCCAAATTGCTCAGCTAGTGTGTTTCCAGCCTCGGCTTCTCGGAGACGGAGTAAATGCCCTGCTGTCTGTCCCCTGGGCACGAGGGATGGCGCCTCGGCCTCCCGCGCGGTGCAGCCCGGTTACCGCCGCTCCCCGGGAGAGGGCCGCGGCCCGCCGAGCGCCTCCTGCCGCCGCCGCTGGCCGCTCGCTGCTGCAGCCCGGGTCGCCGTCGCTGCTGCAGCCGCCAGTTTGGACGATTGTGTTAGGCGTTTCAGAAACCGTCAGTAACTGCCCAGCCCTTCAGAGAGGAAGGCGAAGCCCCTTCTCACACTCTCCCTCTTATCTTATACGGTGCCTTTCAATTAGGCCAAAGGAAAATTACGAATTATTGTAATCGAAATTTTATTCCTCGCCTGTAAAATAGGATTGGACTAGAACATCCCTTAAACTCTTAATCTAATGGTGTCTCTACAAATTGCTGTGTTTGGTGGTGGTGGTGGTGGGGTTGTGCTTCATTATTCTCTCTTTTCCTCATGTTTATGCTGGGACCACTACTTTGAACAACAAAGTCTTTTTTCACCAAATTTTCATAGCTTGAAACTCCTTCCCTACCTGCTTCCAGTATGTTTATCTGAACTCAGAGACAAGAGTTACTTAAGAGGATTAATTTATGCCTTTAACAAGAAAACAAGTCACCTGGTAGCTGTTGAGATTTTGCTATCCAACCTGCTTGGCGCCCCACGCCTGTTTGACTCACCAGGATTTCTTGCAGCACTGTGCCCTCCTGGTGTAATGGATTCACGCTCAGTAGAACTTGAAGTTATCCAAATTTATTGTGAACCAGCTGTGTAAATCTGATCGGGTCACTTTACTTAAAAATTTTGGGATAGAGTCCAAAATTCTTATCATAGCGCTGCCTGGCCCCAGCTTACCTTTCCAGCTTCAAGTCCTGGCTGTCTCTTGCTCCTTCCAGCTGTAAGCATTCTCTCAGTTCCTCAAACACAGCTAGCACTTTTTAGCACCAGGGCCTTCACTCTTGCTGTTAGACTGCCTAGAAGTCTAACTCATCTTTTCTTCTCAAGCTAGTTGGAACTTCCTCAGGGAAACCTTTCCAGACCCCCCAGGCCATTTTTAGGTTTCCAGTCAGACACTGTTAGCATCCTCAGTACTGTCTCCATCACACTTTATTAAAACCATCATGTAATTACTTACCTATTGTTAATTTCCCCTGCTAGATTGTAAATTTGAAGTAGGACCCTAACTTCAGTGGTGGCTTGACCCAAGTTGCAAAACTACTTCCTGTAAAAGATATTATTTTTCCTCTGGATAAAGCTAATTAGCTAACACAGTTGCATCAATTACAAGGTGATTCTCAGATGAACTGTGTGTGACCAATGGTGCTGTCAAGTCCTTTTACTTGATGACAAGTTATTGTTTATCTTTTGAGAACATGTATGTAATGGGCTGTATCTGCTTGGCTATATAAAAAGGGGAGATTTCTTTGCAATCTCTTAACAGATTGCCTGTGATGTACAACATCACATTCTGGTTTAATGATTACTCAATGAATAAAACTTCTTTCTCTACTGAATTTATGTAGAGATTTTTCTGGGTTGGAAGAAGATTTTGTATTTAGTTCTATTTCCCCAGCAGGGGCACTCAGAATATATTTGTCAGAGGTATGAATGGGTTACCATGGTAATGACAGAGATTACCATGAGAGTCAGGAACAGACTGAGGAATGGTTTCTAATATTGTACTTATAAAATCTTTATGAAAGAGTCCCACTTTGAACCAGGCCATTGCTTGACTCCTGTGGCATTATTAATAATGATCACTAAGATCTCCCAAGTTTCTGCTCACTACATTCTAGTCTTAGAACCCTAAGGGGCCACAGCTTCTAGGGCACTGAATCTGGTACCATAAACATTTCTGAATGCATGAATACAGATTTACCTAGGGTCAAATATATATACTTAATATGTATATATTTCATATATACATGCTATTTAATAAAATACTATAGTAGCCACTTTGATTTAGTTACTTATTATTCATATCTCAAACCATACTTTTATCCTACTTATGAGAACAATAACAAAAAGATTCTCTGAAACGCATTAATTAATTGTATACAAGCAGAGTTTCTCAAAATACGAAAGTGTGACCCCAGGCCCCACAGATACCCAGAGACCTTTTCAGGGGGTTCTTAAGAACTCTCTTTGTAACTATGTATCTGTGTGAGGCCAGCTTTTCTTCACATAAGTCAATCAAAACAACATATGGCAACAAATTGAATACAGAAGCAAATATAAGAATCTAGTTGTCTTCTCCTAAACATATTTGTAAAACTATAAAACAATGTCACTCTTTTTGAATTTTCTTTCATTTAGAAAATTATTTTTCATTAAAAATCTTTTGCTAACATAATGGGCTTATCATTTTCAATGAATTAAAATTTAAAAAATTAAACTAGGTTAATTTAAAACCAATCTGATATGGCAGATATCAATAGATAAAATCCACATAAACAAAAGCTCTTGGAGGTGTTAAGTAGGGACCAGGAAGAAGGGGAAATGGGTACGGGGTAAGGCAACAGAGAGACTGAAAAATTCTTGAGAGTATAAAGGGGTTCTTGAGACTAAATAGTTCTCAAACTAAAAGTCATCTCTGATAATGGCTGGGATATAATCAGCAACTTAATTTAAAAACAAAAACAAGACCAGGCGTGGTGGCTCACACCTGTAATCCTAGCTCTCTGGGAGGCCAAGGCGGGCGGAACGTTTGAGCTCAGGAGTTCAAAACCAAAACCAACCTGAGCAAGAGCAAGACCCCGTCTCTACTATAAATAGAAAGAAATTAATTGGCCAACTAATATATATAGAAAAAAAATTAGCCGGGCATGGTGGCACATGCCTGTAGTCCCAGCTACTCAGGAGGCTGAGGCAGGAGGATTGCTTGAGCCCAGGAGTTTGAGGTTGCTGTGAGCTAGGCTGACGCCACAGCACTCACTCTAGCCTGGGCAAAAAAGCAAGATTCTGTCTCAAAAAAAACAAAACAAAAAAACCCAAAACTACATTGTTTTTAGATTGATCACTTTCTTTTGAGAAAATCTAATTTTGACTTAAATGGCACAGAATCCAAAAATTTCAATGCATTTCATATTCTTGGAGTATATTACTTATCCTACTTTGAATGTATTATCTATATTGATACTCATACATTTATACTTCCCTCACTCCATATCCCTAATTATCTTTAAAAAGACCCCCAAACTTTTAATCACTGCTTATAAGTTATTTACCTTATCAAATAAAAATAGAAAATTAGAGTCAGTTTAAGTATAAGATTCTCAAAAAAATAAGATTCTCTTCATGAAGATTAAAATTTTTTTACATTTACTGAGTCATTTGAAATTCAATGGCTGATAATGCTACAAAGCTTGCTACCCCAGAGTGTCTGCACAAAGATATCTTGCTGAAAAATTCATCTACATTTAAAAACTATCTCCAAAGGGGAGGAAATAACATCCTGGAACTAATAAGCAATTACAGCAAGGTTGGAGAATACAAAGTTAACATTTAAAAGTTAATCACTTTCCTATATACCAGCAACTAACAAGTGGAATCTGAAAGTAAAAACACATTACTATTTACATTAACACCATGTAAAATGAAATACTTAGGTATAAGTCTGACAAAATATGTACAAGTTCTGTATGAGGAAAGTTACAAAGCTCCAATGAAAGATTTCAAAGAGCAACTAGATATTCCACGTTCATTCACAGGAAGACTCATTATTGTTAAGATATTAGTTCTTCCCAACTTAACCTACAGATTCAATGCAATCCCACTCAAAAGTCCAGCAATTTATTTTCTACATATCAACAAACTTACATGAAAAGGCAAACAACCCAGAATAGCTAACTCAGTATGAGAACAAAGTCAGAGGATTGCTACTACCCAACTTCAAGACTTGCTATAAAGTGACAGTAATCAAGACAATGTGCTATTGGCAAAAGAACAGACAAATGGAGCAGAATAGAGAGCCCAGAAATGGACCTACATGCATATAGTTAACTGATCTTTGATAAAGGAACAAAGGCAATATTAATTAAGCAAAGATAGTCTTTTTAACAAATGATGCTCAAACAACTGAACATCCACATGCAAAAATATGAATCTAGACAAAGACCTTACATCCTTCTCAAAAATTAATTCAAAAGGGATCATAGACCTAAATGTAAAACACAAAACTATAATATTTTTAGAAGATAACAGAGGAGAAAACCCAAATAACCTTAGGTTGGTGATGATTTTTTAGATATAACACCAAAGCACAGCCCATTAAATAAATAATTGATAAGAAGAACTTCATTAAAACTTAAAACTTTTGCTCTTGAAAGACAATGTCAAGAGAATAAGATGAGCCACAGACTGGGAGAATATATCTGCAAAAGTCAAATTGTATAAAAGACTGTTATCTACAATATACAAAGAATTCCTAAAATTCCACAATAAGAAAATGAAACTGATTGAAAAAGAGGCAAAAGACCTGAATAGACAGCCCACCAAAGAAGATATACAGATAGCAAGTGAGCATACAAAAAGATGTTGACATCATATGTCACGAGGGAATCACCAATTAAAACAACAATGAGATAACACTATACATCTAGTAGAATGGCCAAAATCCAAAACACTGATGACACCAAATTCTGGCAAGGATGCAAAGCAATACAAACTCTCATTCATTGCTGATGGGGATGGAAAAGCTTATGGCCACTTTGGAAAACAGTCCGGTGGTTTCTTAAAAAAACTAAACATACTCTTACCATATGATCCAACAATTTTGCTCCTTGGTATTCATCCAAATGAACTGAAAACCTATGTTCATACAAAAACCTGCACATGGGTATTTATAGCAGCTTTATTCATAATTGCAAAGACTTGGGAGCAACCAAGATGTTCTTCAGTAGGTGAATGGATAAACTGTGGGATATCCAGACAATGGAATATTATATAGAGCTAAAAACAAATGAGCTGTCAAGCCATGATGAGACATGGAGGAAACTTAAATGCATACCACTAAGCAAAGAAGCTAATCTGAAAAGGCTACATAGTATATGACTGTAACTATATGACATTCTGGAAAAGGCAAAACTATGGAAACACTAAAAAGATCAGTGGTTGCTAGGAGTTGCAGGACAGGGAGGAATGAACAAGCAGAGCACAGAGGTTTTTCAGGCCAGTGAAACTATCCTGTTTGATACTACAATGGTGGATACATGTCATTACATATGTGAAAAACCTATTGAATGTATAACACCAAGAATGGACTCTAAACTATGGGTATGAGTGACTTTTAAAAAAAGTTCTTGCTGTTCTTACATAGAGGACTGTATGGCAACTTCATCAAACTGGAAATTCTAATAGAATTACATTAATACAGTGGGAAAATATGCATCAAAAAAGGTGGGCAGGGGGATTATCTGTTCCTCAAAATGTTCTGGAATCTAAATTTTGTCAACAGCATGCCCTACCCTGAAAATTATTCTATCTTATTGAGTTTGTTTTATATTATTTCTCTCATATAGCTATATAAATAATGCATTGGTGAAAACATCACTGTGTGTGAGCTGACAGTATGTATAAAGTTCTAAATATTCAAAAGACTATTTCTACTTTTATTTTTATTTATTTATTTATTTTTTGAGACAGAGTCTCACTCTCTTGCCTGGGCTCGAGTGCCGTGGCATCAGCCTAGCTCACAGCAACCTCAAACTCCTGGGCTCAAACAATCCTCCTGCCTCAGCCTCCTGAGTAGCTGGGACTACAGGCATGTGCCACCATGCCTGGCTAATTTTTTCTATTTTTAGTAGACATGGGGTCTCGTTCTTGCTCAGGCTGGTCTCAAACTCCTGAACTCAAGCAATTCTCCCACCTCTGCCTCCCAGAGTGCTCGGATTACAGGTGTGAGCCACTGCGCCCGGCCTCAAAAGAAAATTTTTAAGCGTCTAGATGCAAGAGCCTAATAATGTTTTTAAAAAGATATTTGTGTGGCGATACCATTTGGAAAAAAAGTACACTAATTTTGATGTGCTATTTATTATATCCTATTACAAATGATAATATCTTAAACGTCTTCCTGACAATTGTAAGCACATCCTGAAATTCTTTTTCCTTGAGAACCAGACTGCACACCCATTTTATGAACCACAGGAACAAAACCATCAACCATTCTAGAATCCTCTTCCAAACACAGAGCCAGTAAGGGAGAGTTCAGGGGTAAAGTTATAGGCCTTTGTCTAGCCTCCCATACACTGTACAGGTCAACAGTACAAAAGTTGATGATAAACCACTAGCTGGTTAGAAGGGAAGAATGAATACCACTCAGCCTATGGAATTTCAAAACTGGATTTGCTAGCTTCTAAAATTTCTATATATCCTAATAGCAGGGAAGCCCTGTTTTAAGCTAAATTTTGGAAATTGAAGGAAAAGATCAGAATTCCCTGCCATTCCTACTATAGGGCTACCTCAAGACACAGAACCTATTGAAGTAGCACAGTATATTAAGTCAAATAAGAATAGTACCCATTTTGTGTGCTATACTTAATATATAGATTTTCATTCTCTTAAAGCCCAAATGAGAGTATTTTCAGGGGGCTAATCTAATAGCTAATGTTCCAAATAAAGCCATTTAAAAACAGGTGCTCTTCTAAGAGGCTGGAGAAGGCATTCACATAATCCAGAAGCCGCTTTAAAAGGTGTTCATTCTGGCCAGGCATGGTGGCTCACACCTGTAATCCTAGCACTCTGGGAGGCTGAGGCGGGAAGGTCGCTCAAGGTCAGGAGTTCAAGACCAGACTGAGCAAGAGTGAGACCCCCGTCTCTACTAAAAAAATAGAAAGAAATTAGCTACACAACTAAAAATACATAGAAAAAATTAGCTGGGCATGGTGCATATGCCTGTAGTCCCAGCTACTCGGGAGGCTGAGGTAGAAGGATTGCCTGAGCCCAGGAGTTTGAGGTTGCTGTGAGCTAGGCTGACGCCACGGCACTCTAGCCCAGGCAACAGAGTGAGACTCTGTCTCAAAAAAAAATAATAATAATAATAAATAAAAATAAAAGGTGTTCATTCCATTCAATGTCATCTATCACTATATAATTAGGTTTTGGTATATTTTTGCCTTAAATGTAAAAGGGTCATATTGAAGTTGATTCTAATAAAATAATTACTTCTAAGATGTATATTACTTGTGAGATTCATTTTCAAAATCTCTTATGCAGCCTAAAAATAGTAAGAAAAAATGAAAACTTACACTGAAATATTTTTTACACAATGAACTCTAATGACTGGTTCACATTGACAAAAATGAAAACAGTAATTCTATATACTTTATACAATAAATAAAGTATAAAAAAATATTTCAATACATAAATAGAAGCTTTACACATCCAAAATACAGTACATATATATGAAATATATTTCTAAATTTTAATGAAATACTATGAACTACTAAATTTTCATTACAAATTATATATATATTTCAATATAGAAATATACTTTTTCCAACATTTTAATTTTCAGAGATTACTTGCATGGTGATATTATGGAGAGTAATTTAACATACCAAGCTTTTTAGTAATTAATTATAATTAATAATTCAATGAAAGGGCATGATTATGATACTTTGAAGAAAAATGTCTTGATTATGGCAAAAGTACCATTCTGAGGAATATATACAGTGTTCCATTTCTGTGTAGATAGTAATGCTAAACATAAAAGGGAAGATACTAGATTTTCAACATCTTTGTGTCTTAAGCATCAATGCTGTAGAATGATGTGGGCCAAAATGAAGCGTTTCCATAAAGTCAAATTACTAGATTGACATCCCATTTCCTTACTTACAAAAATTACTTTACAAGCACTCTTCCAAGGTAAAATGTATTTTAATATGTCTCGAAAGTTAATAAATATAGTGCTTCTCAATATGTAAAGCCTGTATGACAAATAAACCTCCACTGTATACATTTTAAAATATGGTCTTTCTCTCTGTATATAGACTGGACAAACTAATAACTTAGAGGTAATGGAGAGACAATTGAAGACATTTATTCCCTACTCAAATAAAAGTGAGGAAAAGTTACAATGATGCTTAAGAATACTCTACTAGTTAAGTGCTAAAAGGGGAGGAGTTCAATATTTAATACCATACAAGTATTTGCCGATTTTATAATTTTTGGCCAGATACATTAGTTATTTAAAAAAAAGTTATTTAATAACTTAGTTATTTAAGGAGAAGCTTAGGTAACTTTAAAATGACTTGAGAAAATTTATTCTTTCTGAAAGTTGATATGTAGTATTTGGTTTGAAGATTTCTGAGTCCTTGGGGGTAATTTCTTGTTCTCAAATTTGTGTAATCTTTCCAGTAAAGAGTACACATTGAGTTAAAATCTGTTATAACTGTACTTACTTTCAGAAAGAATATTTGTTCTGTAGCATATAAGAAAATTTGTTTACAAATATAAATATAAATTAATCTGCATTAACATCTTTTTTCCATATATCCCATAGCATATAATCACTTCGACAGAACATTTTTATTTCAAATTTTATCATTTAAATAAAGTCTGCAATTTGGGAGTGTAAATGTATAGTCTGATTGAAATGTTAAACATTAAATATATAGAGTATATAACAATTTAATTGCTACTGATCCACTGATATTTATTTTCTGTTTCTTCTTTTTGGACTCTTTGTTCTTCTCGGTGATTAGCTGCAGTCCAAAATGTTATTTTTTTGAGAACTTGTTGCAGAAGTTTAGGAGGTAATAAAGATATCTGACTTTCTAAAATAATAGCATTTTTACCAATACAGTCAAGACATGACCTGTAAATAAAGCATAACATAATTATTAGTTTTGAACCCAAAATTATAAGATATTTATAGTTAAGAATTCCTAAAAATAAAAATCATTTTAAAAATTTTATGTGATAACGTACTTCCTTTGTATTGTTTGGAACATGATAGGATTTTTTTCTAGAGCACCATAGTAATTGTATATCTTTATAGTATAGAGACTATTTCTAACCAAAATTCAATGAAAACATAAAAAAAAAACTTACCATGCATAAAGTTCTTTTTTTTTTTGAGACAGAGTCTCGCTTTCTTGCCTAGGCTAGAGTGAGTGCCGTGGCGTCAGCCTAGCTCACAGCAACCTCAAACTCCTGGGCTCAAGCAATCCTACTGCCTCAGCCTCCCGAGTCACTGGGACCACAGGCACGAGCCACCATGCCCGGCTAATTTTTTTATACATATATTAATTGGCCAATTAATTTCTTTCTATTTTTATAGTAGAGACAGGGTCTCGCTCAGGCTGGTTTTGAACTCCTGACCTTGAGCAATCCGCCCGCCTCAGCCTCCCAGAGTGCTAGGATTACAAGCGTGAGCCACCGCGCCCGGCCATAAAGTTCTTTAAGTAAAAAAGATTCAGACTTAAATTTAAACCAGATTAATTGATAGCAGTTTCTTTTTCATATTTTCCAGTTAGCTCGATATCCAGAACTGTCTTCTGCTTCTATCACCTCAAGCTGAGCCATCTGACATCCATTTTTATGTGACCAGTCCACCCCATATTCCCCCCATAAATGACTGCACTGGGGTTGCACATGTGACTTAAGTTGACCCAGAAAGAACAGGTTGGAAGAGAGGAATGGAGCCACAAGACAAAAAGCACCAAGAGAGACCAGTTGTGTTTCTACTCTTCTGGGGCCTGGGTGTTCATTTTTTCCCCTTTGATTCCATTCCAACAGAGGGCATTATCCTCCCAAATACCATCCCTTTTTGTCTTAGACTACATTGAGGAGGGTTTTGTATTTCAAACCAAAAGAAATGAAAGATAAGAACGATCAAAAAACCATCTATTTCAATTATCAAACTTTAATTCAAAAAGATAAATAAATATTTTTTAAAAGTTTTTTGAAGTAGACACATTTGATTCTGCTGTGATTAACTTTGATGTCATTTTTACAAGCATTTACACTCTAGATACGTACATGTTCTTCTACACTTTTATGAAGACTTTTCTCTCCACTCTGTGACAACTCTAAATAGAAGAGTTAAAATGTTCCACATAGATGCAGAAGTACGAGAAAATGATATGAATCTTATACCTTATGCAAATTTAACTCTGCTCCCATGGTGACACAACAGCTGCTGTGCCCTTTCCACCATGAGGGGAAGGAAGAGTCACATGAGGAGATGGCCTGTCATTACCATTCGGTCACTGATTTAACAAGCATTTATCAGTGTGCGCTATATACTAAGTACTGTCTTATGAGTAGGAAATCCAACACATAGAAAAACCCTATTTGAATTTTTAAAAAAATTTTCAGAATATTAAGGGAGCATAAATGTTTCTGCTACATAAATATGCCCATCACCAGAATAGTGTTTGTTGTATTTGATAGGTAGGTTTTTACCCCTCCTCTCTTCCCTCTCATTCCCTCTCACCTTACCCCTGTCTTGATTTCCTATGACCTTTACATCTCTATTTGAACTTTCTTTCTTTCTTTCTTTTTTTTTTTTGAGACAGAGTCTCACTTTGTTGCCCAGGCTAGAGTGAGTGCCATGGCGTCAGCCTAGCTCACAGCAACCTCAAACTCCTGGGCTCCAGCAATCCTGCTGCCTCAGCCTCCTGAGTGCAGGCATGCGCCACCATGCCCAGCTAATTTTTCTATATGTATTAGTTGGCCAATTAATTTCTTTCTATTTATAGTTGAGACGGGGTCTTGCTCTTGCTCAGGCTGGTTTCCAACTCCTGACCTTGAGGAATCCACCCGCCTCGGCCTCCCAGAGTGCTAGGATTATAGGCGTGAGCCACCGCTACCGGCCTCTATTTGAACTTTCAAGGACATTATGATTTAGTGAAGAACATAAATGACAATGAAGTGTTATAAATGCTGTGACTGGGATAAAATACAATTCCCATGACAGGTAACAGGGTTCTGTGGGAATCAGATAAGAATAATGGAGACACCTTATTAACAAGTCAGTGGAAACTTTCCAGAGGTTGAGGTTGAGACATTCAGGGCCTCAACAAATTAAACAAAGGTATCCCAGATAGAGGAACCATACCTGCGAAGCCCTAGAGAGGAGAAATAAGACTATAGAAACTGCAATTCAGTGGTTTAATACAGCTGGAAGGCAGTGTGTAAGAGTGGGGCATGGCAATCTCTGGGAGCAGAACACAGGCATAAATATTTTTTGAAGCTTCCCATAAGCATCTAACATGCAGACAAGTTTGGGAACTACTGTGCTAAGTGAAGGAGCAGATAAGAAAGACTTCGGGAAGGTCCGGTTTGAGCCAGTCCAGTGGTTTTTTGTGTTTTTTTTTTGAGACAGAGTCTCGCTTTGTTGCCCAGGCTAGAGTGAGTGCCATGGCATCAGCCTAGCTCACAGCAACCTCAAACTCCTGGGCTCAAGCAATCCTACTGCCTCAGCCTCCCGAGTAGCTGGGACTACAGGCATGTGCCACCATGCCCGGCTAATTTTTTTTTCTGTATATATTAGTTGGCCAATTAATTTCTTTCTATTTATAGTAGAGACAGGGTCTCGCTCTTGCTCAGGTTGGTTTCGAACTCCTGAACTCAAACGATCCGCCCGGCTCGGCCTCCCAGAGAGCTAGGATTACAGGCGTGAGCCACCACGCCCGGCCAGTCCAGTGGTTTTTCAAATGGTTCAAGGTGTAAAACATCTGGAAGTTATGGTATATTCCTTGAAATACAACATGGCCTCTCTCTCTCATATTTTCTTTCTCTCTCTCTCTCTCTGCCTCTTGGCTGCCTTTACCCATGTTATTCCCACAGCATTAAATTCACACATGTTCACTGGGCAACTTCTGCTTCTCTCAAATCCTTCCTGCCAACTCTCATAGGCAGAAATAGGGGCTTTTCCCACCATTTTCCCACTAAACTTTGTATAGAGACTCCTTTTAGAGCAAGAGTATATACGCTAAGACATGATAAGTCACACTGCCAATTTAATAACAGCTTTGGGGTTAAAAAAGAAATTCTTCTATATTAAATGTGTATATGTATATGTTAAATATGTGTATGTGCATATTAGGTGTGTATGTGTATGTTAAGTGCATGTATGTGCATGTTAGGTGTGTATGTGCATTTTTAAGCATGTGTATGTGCATGTTAGGTGTGTATGTGCATGTCAAGTGTGCATATGTGGTCAGTCCTCCATTCTTGTGGGCTTCTCCTCTGTGGATTCCACTAACTGCAGATTGAAAATGTAGTTAGGCCTATGATGGTAGCATCTCTACTGAGCATGTACAGACTTTTTTTCCTTGTAATTATTCCCAAAATAAAACAGTATAACAACTATTTACATAGCATTTAAATTGTAATAGTTATTGCAAGTAATCTAGAGATGATTTATAGCATAGAGGAGGATGTGCATACAGGATGATATGCACAGGTTATATGCAAATGCCATGCCATTTCATATCAAGGACTTGAGCGTCCACAGATTTTGTTATCTGAGGGGGGAAAGTGTATCCTGAAATCAATATCCCACAAATACTGAGGAATGACTGTATATAATATATATATTATATATAGTACATTATCAGACACATTTTGATTTCTAAAAAGTTGAAAATGTAAAAAAAGTCAGGATTAGAATTAAAGAAATATGGTATGTTTACTATTACCAAATGAACTAAATGTAATTTTATAAACAAAACAAAAATGTGAAGGTATTGCATATTCTAATCTTAAAAATCACATTGGTGAATGGTTCACCATTATAAATTTGATTATACTCTTAGGAAGATGTAAACATTTTCTCAAATTCATGTCATGAACTACCTGAAAATATTATAATTCTTCCTAAAAAGGAGAAAGAAATGATCATACATTCATAGCATATATATGTAAAAATGCTAAATTTACTTACCTGAGTAGTGAATAAGGCTGTGTTTGAAAGATCAATAAATCATTACAGTGACCCTAATCAATATAAAAAGGTCTTATCAGGACTTTAATACAAATAATAGTATATTTATAATTAAATGTTTTATTTTATAAATGTAAAAGACATTGTATAAAGGAGCAAATAAATCTCTCTAGTTGTTGACACACACATAAATGTACACACATAAACATCATACACACAAACATACACACACATACATATACCTGCTATCCACAAACATTGGGTATGTGGTTACCAATTTTCAGTTACCAAATTTTTACCCAATCAATAGCCTGCATAATTCCAAATTTAAAAATCAGAAACATGTTCTTCCCTGAGAACTATGAGTTAAAAATGATAACAGTATGCCTTTAAAAGTCTTGGCTTAAAAAAAATTATAACACTGGTGGCTTTCAAATTTTTTGGTTTTTGAAGCATAATTTTTTCTTTCAAATAACTCTTATTTTAAAATTCCCTCTTTATTCTGTACTCCTTCAAGTAGTCCTAGGATTCCCTGGTAATTCTTAGTTTAAAAATCAAGATCTGGAAGTTTTTTCAAATAATGCTTCTCATCTAAAAGTTAACGGGGTAGAACAGTCATAGAAGATTTCTCTAATCCTTTCAAATAGGTCTTTAGAATGTCATAAATTTTGGTCACAATTTTAATCAGAATTCTTACTTTAATGACAAACTTTGTATCCTAAATAAAGGTTTCCAGTACCAAGTAAGAAAAGACAAACCGCAAGATTTGCTTTGTAAATAAATGCAAAGTTGGAGTTTTAATCTTTTAATGAAGCATTGAATTTTCAGACAAAGAAAGCTCTAAAATGTTCAATATCCATAAGATTTAAGTTGGAGGCCTCTCCAGATTCCCTGGAGAGAAGCTGCCCTGTCTCAGGGTTGGTTACTCCAGAGGAACAGCTCTGGAGACAACTGTTCCTGAAGAGATGAAAGGGAGCTAGTCTTTCTGGTGGGCCTCTGGCTCACTGCACCCCATCCCCAATGGCTCAGTGTCCTGCCATTCTTGAGGGTCCTATACAAACCAGGGCAATTGTTCCTGAACTCCTAGCCCATCATGTACAGTGTTTGAATGTGGCCACCCTGCTCTCAATTTCCCAGAGTGCTAGGAGTGAAAGAACAATACTCTCCAAATGCTACTCAATCATTCCTTTGACCTTAGTTTTATCAGATTTTAAAAACTAAAATGCTTTAAACTCAAATGTAAAACAGTTGGGTGAAATAGTGGCAAAAGATGCATAAAATAAAAAGAAAATACACCTTAAACATTTAAACAAAGTAGTTTCCTCCTGAGGGGAGAAGTTAGCAGGTCAGATTCAGAAGGAATAAATGGGTAGCTTTGACAGTATTGATGATGTTCTAATTCTTAAATTAGCTAGCAAATTTCATGGGCATTTATTATGCTTGGCATCTATATTATAAATATTCTTTTATGTATCAAATGTTATATATAAATATTTTCATTCAGTAAAATTATAGACACCCTCATTATGGTACAGCTCAAAAAGAAAAGAAGAGGAAGAGTCAGCCTTTAAAAGCTCTTCTTAGTAACTGGGCTAATGAAATTAATAGACCTATATTAATTTATAAATCCAAAGTATACTAATATGCTTCATAAAAGTCACTCATTATGAAGATTAATCATACCACAGAGTAACATTTCATACCCTTTCATATTTTGCAATGTTGGAATAGCAACATGCTCATTGAACAGCCATTTAGTCTGAATAACACAATTAGTCAGAGGAAAGGTTTAGATATAAGATTTTCTTACTGTATCCAAGGAAAGTAAATCATCTTTGCTCCCACCAAATACCATTATTTCATTTTCTTTTCCCAAACAGGCTGTGTGCCATAACCTATAATTGAAAATTATAAACAGAGTGAAATACTGTAAAGGAAGAAACTTTATATTACGTATAAATCAATTCTAAATTGCACATAAAATTTAATCTATTTCTAAAGAGGTATGAGTGTACTTGAACCTTTGGCATATCCTTAAAGGGGTTAGATTTTAAAGATCCCTCTAGAATTAATGACATCATACAATTTCAACTAAGGAGATGACTATTAATAATTCTTCCTATTACTATACCCCAAACCTTTTCTAACCCTTTTATCTCATACATATTATCTCTGAAATACAATAAATTAAAAAGCAACTGATCATCTTGTTGCTGAAATAGGTATTTTTCCCAGTCTTCTTATTACTATCAATATCTGCTATGTTACTGTTCCCATAATTTTTGCCTCTGTCTTTCCTGCTCTCTGTTCCCTGTCACCTGACAAATCCAATTTGGCACTCCCTTCACATTTCCATTGTCACATTACTCATCACTCTGGGTAGAGAATACCCATAAGTATGTTCTCAAATTTTCTGTCTCTAATCTCCCCCAAATACATATAGCTAACCACTAATATTTTCCAAATCTTGTTTTTAACTTTTTTTTTTGAGACAGACTTTCACTCTGTTGCCTGGGCTAGAGTGCAGTGGCATCAGCCTAGCTCACAGCAACCTCAAACTCCTGGGCTCAAGCAATCCTTCCGCCTCAGTCTCCCAGGTAGTTGAGACTACAGGCATGTGCCACCGTGCCCCGCTAATTTTTCTATATATTTTTTAGTTGTCCAGCTAATTTCTTTCTATTTTTTTTTTAGTAGAGATGGGGTCTCGTTCTTGCTCAGTCTGGTCTCTAACTCCTGAGCTCAAGCAATCCGCCCACCTCAGCCTCCCAGAGTGCTAGGATTACAGGCATGAGCCACCGCGCCCAGCCAAAATCTTGCTTTTAATCATGGAAATTTCCTGACTGGCATCTGTGCTACTAATAGCTGTCTTTAAAATAAGCCCTCTAGTTAAGCCAAGTTCATTTCTTTGCTTCCCCCCAAAAGAAAAGCCTATATCTACCTCTATGCTTTTGTTTAGTTTACCTTTTTTCATTCTCTCAGGGCCTTAAAAACAGGCTCAAAACCCTCAAATATTCACCCAAACTGGTTCTGTTACTATATCTGTTCAGCACCTTTCAATATTTATGTGCTTATTTTATACTCTCCTAACTTAGATTTGAAGATAAACTGTTCTGTATAGTACTTTAACTGATGTGTCTTCTAGCTACCTAAGAAGACGATGAGGTCCTTGAGGTCAGAACTTGCCACAGTGGTGTGCTGGAACCGGCTCACTGCCTACTGAAGCCGGTTGTATGTTTCCATCCAACTCTGTGTTCAGTGACATCATGTTGGTAGCTTGAAATTGGCCATGATGGGAGTGTTTACAATTTGGAGATCATCATATGCTACAAATTAAAGCTTTCTTTTTCCATTCCAAGAGTGATTGCTAATGGTTGACCAGCACACCACCAGACGTTGGGGAATCTAATTTTATGCTTCTCCTTAAAAATGTCCAATATGGTGTTCTACACCCAGTAGATGCTCAAAAACTTTTGATTAACAAAAGCAAACACAAAATACCAACATAATTTATTCAGTGATTAAGTATATAAATTATTTTATAAAGGAATAGAGCATCTAATGTTCTTTTGAAAATGGTCTGATAGCTCATCCCTACCTCCAATTTCACGTTATTTACAAAGAATAATTTTATGGTCTTATTAAGTTCAATATTATCAGAAGTTCTAATTCTCAAAAAAGTAAATTTCTTAATTTTAGAAGATAAATTAAGAATTTTACAAAGTCATTGCTTTGACTCTGAGAGTACTTTGATTACTTTACTTAGTATACCAAATTGGTAAAGCAATAGATGCCCAAACTATCACACATTTTCACCTATATTACCACGTAACTTATTTTTAGTACATTTATCCCTTTTACTTAAGTTCCACAAGCACAAGCAGTGGGATTATGCACAATTTGTTAAACCAAATACTTTCCCCCAATCATGCACACATTCAACAACAAATGCACTTACGACCCAGGGTAGAACTGAGTCATTTAGAGATGTTATTTGGGAAACACTCTGCCCAATTCTCCAACTCATATGTTAAGACATAAATTGATATAAATCTTTAGCAAGAATCCAGATTATGTTGTAGGGTTGGGAATGGCGACTGGAAGAAAGTCTAGGTAAAGGAGATAGAATATTATGAATGCCCTCATATATGGCAAGGAATAGATTGATTTCCTGAAGAGAAAGCTATGTGTAACCTTGGCAATATCCATGGGCTCCAATACTACTGAAGGCTCTACATGTCAACATTGTATCCCAGTATCTTTCACAGACACATAAAAACGAGTCCTTGCTGATAGCCACCTATACAGGTTATCAGCTATGGTTAGACAGATGGCTTTTCAACCAAGCATAGTTTTATCTAAGGGGATAGCTGGAGAAGAAGAGTGCTCACTGTAGAACAATGGTTCTCAACCAGGGGAAATCTGTCCCCTAAGGAGACATTTGACAGTATATGGAGATATTTGGGGTTGTCAAAACTGGGGAAGGAGAAGCTAGTACTACTGGCATCTATCAAGTAAAGGCCAGGGATGCTGCTATGCAGTTTACAGTGCACAGGATACTCTAATGACAAAGAATTATTTGGTCCAAAATGTCAATAGTGTTGGGGTTGAGAAACCGTGCTGTAGAGTTTTAAGAGGAGAATTGGGCAGCTTACATTTCAAAATATCATTTGGAAAAGTTTACACAAAATACTTATAGGTGTTAAACTGTCACTTTCATAAAAATTAGTACACATATACACATATATATGTTCTCCTTACACTCAACTGTATCCCACCTGTTCTCCTCCTCACCTCATACCTGAAGATAGATCTGCCTCTGTCTTATCTGCCTTAGGGAAACTCTGGCCTGGATTTCATCATCGAAGAACACTGGAAAGCCTTTCCTGCCTTGATTTTGGTGACATCTAGCTTGCAACCTGATGTTTTTTCTACAGACTGATAGTTTATGTCCTTTCACAGCTGCTCTAAACTTATCACCTAAACATTCTAATAAAGCATAGTATTTACATGACACATTAGCTGAGTTAAAAGAAATCTCTTTACATAACTCTAGTTCTAACTAGTATCTTATTGATAATAGTTGTATTGTTCTAATTACTCATTAATGGTTGGAATATAAAATAGGAGCAATTTAAAAATTAAACATATTTTTACTACCACTTTGGTCTATAATTAATGCATTTATACAATCAAACAATTGGAAGAAATTAAGAGATTATCTACTCCAACTCTCTCATTTCACAGATGAAAAAATTAACGCTCAGTTTGTTTAAATGACTTTTAAAAGCCAAAAAGCTAAGTAGTAGCTGAGCAAGAACTAGAACTTTGGGCTCCCATATCTTAATATAAAATTCTTTAATTTAAAGAAAAATTTTCAAAAGAGCCAGAATTGTTAAAATAATAAATTCCAATGAATTTTTATACATGAAGATACAAGAATCACATATGTAATTATGATAAACTCTAAATGTATTTGAATATTAATATAGATATACATATTTTCAGGCTTTTTTCTCAAGTAAGTTACTTGTCATTTATTAAATAACAAAAATACATATCATATTTATACTATAGCATCAATAATCTATAGTAAAAAAACCCAAAATACATGGCATAAAAAAGAATGAAATCTATTACTGACTATAATGATAATAATGTGAAGAATCTGAATTTCCTATGAAGATATTTTATCATACTATTCAAATTAGAAAAAATAAGAATTATAGTACTAATATGGTTTTCTTTGTAGTCTAATAATAGTATATTGTTTCTACAAATTTTTATCCTATATTATGCTATAAAAACTAACACATTTTCTTTTTAAAAAAATTCACATCAATGAATCCATCATACAATTTTTTTTTTTTAAACAATGTCTAGCTCTGTTGCCTGGGCTAGATTGTAGTGGCATCATCATAGCTCACTGCAAACTCAAACTCCTGGGCTCAAGTAATCCTCCTGCCTCAGCCTCCCAAGTAGCTGGGATTACAGGCATGTGCCACCATGCCCAGATAATTTTTGTATTTTTTATAGAGAAGGGGATCTCACTGTTGCTCAGGCTGGTCTCAAACTGCTGGCCTCAAGCAATCCTCCCACCTCAGCCTCCCAAAGTGCTAGGATTACAGGCAGGAGCCACTGTGCCTGGCCACATCATATAATTAATAAAGAAAAGTAATAAGTTCCCATCTACTGGATCAACATGAAAGCAAATTGCTTCATTAAATAACTTTAAACCTCTTCCAAAAGCAAATAACTACTATTGAAGACAACTTTATTCTCATCTATTTAATAAAAATATTAACATTAAAAAAATTAACATTATATGATGCTTTAAATTATCTTAGTCTTTGTAGTTATCAGGCAAGCTTATGCATTTAGCTAAAAGAGTAACATTTTCAAATATGCAAATGTGAGTGAAAAATGCACAGATAATTTCTAACAGTCAGATATAATTAAATGATAATTAAATTATTTAGGTAACATCAAGCTCATTTGAAAGGTAGCCTTCCTTAAGGTTTATGGCTTCAATGGCAAACATTATCAATTTAGTACTATATTTTAATACTTTAAAAATTCTTAACTACTTTACTATTTGTCAACTTTTAGACTTACCTAGGTCTTGTTTTAGGTAAATGTGTAAGCTGTTTCCAACAATTTGTCATGACATTATGAATCCAACCATCACCTGCAATATTATTACAGTTCAGAAATTAAGATTAGGTCTTTGGGATATAATTTTAATTTTTTTCCCAAATTTATCATGCTACATTTAAATGACTATCTTTTCTGTGGGTGAACATTTTATTATACTATTTCAAACATCTACAAAAGTAGAGTGATCGTGACAATGAACCTCCACATATTCCAGAGTCAACTATCATGATTTTGCCATATGTGCTCCATTTATCTTTTTGTTATTCTTATTGCTGAAGCTTTTAAAAATTAAATCCTAGATCTCCTATCATTTTCTCCATACATACTTTGGTATGCATTACTAAAAAAATGGACATTTTCCACATAACCACAATGCCATTATCATACAACCACAATGCCATTATCATAGTCAACAAAATTAAAAATAATTTCTTGGGATCATCTAATACCCATATGGCCAAATCTTCAACTGAATCTATAAGGGGAGGAAACTAACTTAACTAAGAGTTACCACATTTAATTTCCCATAAGTCAATGATCAAAAACAGCAAATAGGGATTAAAAACATGAGATTTATGAAGATATGATATTAAACAATCCCTAGTGAAATGTATAGATGTTAGTTTTTATTATCTTCTGAATCTCTCTTAACTGAAAATCTCACAAATTGAAGAAGTATAATAATAATCTGCCAGAATAACTAACATCCCCCTACTAGGAACTGCTGTTTCTCCAACCAGCCTCTGGAGTTTGTTTGTTGGGTGGCCAGCAGACTGTCAAATACACAGTTGATACTCAATACACTTTTGTTGAAAAATAAACAGTTGTTTCCAGATCCTATATACAATTATATAAATGGTTTTAATGGTGTATAAGGGGTCTTAATGAAAACGTGTCTAGCCATAGAAAACTTAAGAGTTAAAAAAATATAAAACAACTAACATGACAAACTAAGAAGAGGATATTCTTGGTCATTTGTCTATCCTGATACCACAATTTTACTGCTGAAATAAAAACTGCATTCTAAAACCCATAGCTCCGCCTGCATATTCCTACGACTTCCCAGAGTCCTGTGGACAATGACTGGGGAGACAAACCATGCAGGAAACATGTCTAGTGAAAAAAAAATAAAAATAAAAAAAATAAAAAATAAAAAATAAAACCCATAGCTGTTGGGAGCAGCAGTGACAGGAGTTTAAAAATCTAGCTAAGCACTTCCTTTTATTGTTCTGGATCAAAAAGAGAAGCAAATAGGCTTCCCACCTTGTATTTCCAGAGCCTTCTAGGAAACGCTGCTCTTTTAATCACAACCTTAGCCTACAGTATAAGCATCTGGATCAAAAGTGAGGACACAGAATCACAGAATACAGTAGTGGAAAGTGGCTTTATTTAATCTAGGTTCAACCATCTTTCCTCTTTGCTATTCCTAGGAAACAGGAGAACATGGAGAGCCAAGGATACAAAAGCAAAGAGGTTTTCTTCTCATTCTTAATGCAAATATATAGTTGGGGATAAAGGTAAACCAATAAAACAGGAAAAAAGGAAGATTTACTTCACCATGAGTATGAAATACAATTAGGAAAAAAGACTGAGATAATAATTATAGGTTAAATTTTAATCAACTTACTTAATGGAATATTATCTGCACTTAGTCCACCAAATAGGAAAAGCTTATCATCAGCTATTGGTGTTAGAGTATGCCATGACCGATGCTTGGGGCTTTCTCCATTAACAGGAATCCTGTAGCAAGGGGGGAAAAAATTAAAATCTATGTACTGTGTTAGTCAAAACAAAAGGTTTTTAATCATTTTGGATCTTAAAGGAAAAAAACTGCCCTCCCTAGTCCAAAAGAAAAAGTTGATTTTACTAGTTCCACCTAAAAGAATGTTTAAAAAACATTCTTAAATTCTTAGATGAATTTAAACCATTTCTTTCCACTTAATGTCCATTTCACCTGGCCACAGAGTGAAAATAAACCCATTTCCCAGTTAATTCTTGTAGATCTTTACCCTGACTGCTCTCTGTTAAAAATATTGCAAATATTACTACTAGTTTGTTTTTGGCTTGTACTTTACAATTTGCCCTTTAACTTTTTGTGGTACATTTTTCTAAAGAGAAATATTTAATTTTTAAGTGGTCATATCAAACAGTCTTTTCATTTATGAATTTTGGGTTTATATCATCTTTATAAAGGCTTTTTCCATGTCAAGATTTTAAAAATAATTTGTTATGTTTTCTTCTGGTACTTTCATGGTTTTATTTTTACTGGCATTTATACTTTGGAATAATATATATCTCTGATTCCATCTCATTACATGAAAGGCTGAGTTGATAGCTAAATATATTTATTCTATTATTAAATATATATTATTAGTCATAAGTAAAATCTGACTTTTTCGTACTCCGTTATTTGTTCACTTAAGATGATCCCATTCAACCACTCCCTCATTTCTTCTACTGATCAGTCCTCAAAGAATACTTGGTATAAAACCAGTACTTTTACATAATCAATTTATAACCATTAGTATTTTCATATTTTATATAGCTTGGTTAAAGAAAAAACTCTATTTAAATTTGTATATTCCTTGCTTAGACATACAATCTGAGAGGGAAAAAAATACCAGTTCAGTTTCATGGACCAAAATTTGGATTATGAACACACACACACGCACACAAACACACACACATACCCCTAAACAGTAAAACAGACTTGAAACTTACCTTCCAGACCAAGTCCAGGTATCTAAGTTTAGATAGTGCAAATCATTCATCCTAGTTTGCTAAAATAAAAATGTGTTAAATTGGTCAGTGTTTTATATTTTTTATGGGCTTAAATTTTGATTTTAAAATACATTCAGCTTAAAAAGATACTATCTTTATTTTATTTAACATCCAAAGTTTAAATATTGAAAAATAATGCTAAGCATTAATAAAATTAATATAAAGTCCCCAAATCAATGTGTCAAAGGGGAAAGGAAGAATTGGTTTTAAACTAACAGGATTTAGATTATGAGAAATTAAACTTTTCTGATACTGCACTGAAGTGAACAATTCTTCTCATTAAAATATGGCTTATAATCATCTGTGATTGCTCATGTATGGTCTGTTTTGGAAATAGAGGATAATAAATGTTATTATTGAATGCCATTTTAATCTCTAGATTATTTGAATATTCAATTATTCCACAAAATCAAAGGATAAATTTTTAAGAAGCATTACACATAAAAATGCCATTGCCAATAAAAACACTAACCAAAACACGTCCGCCAAAGATATAACCTTTATTTCCAAGAACTGCACATGTATGCGCGGCTCGTGGCTGTGGTGGAACTCCACCCTGCAAGCAGAGATCAGAACAGATTGCAAAGACTTGAAACATCTGTAATAGAGTCGCATTCCTATGCTCAAAATGAGAAATACTTAACCATTAAGTTACCATTACCTATGTAATTCAATTAAAACGCTAACGTAAAAGTTCATTCTAAATACTAATAATTATAGACAAATATACTCGTCAGTATAAAATTTATTCTCTCTGATCTTTATTTTTGTAAATGTTTTTCTTAAATACCTGATACTACTTAGCAAGACAAAATGTCATGTAAATTTCTGCTTGAAATACTGTACAAGAATTTTAAAAATTTAATTTAAAAAATCCACTCTTATTCTCTTTCTCTCTCTCTCTCTCACACACACACATCGATTCAATATTAGGAGTGAGCAGTGCACAATGTGATGATCTCAGAAACTCTGTAAAATTAAATATGGTCCCCAAACTATTGGTACCTCAAGTTCACAATAAGAACTTCACTCTTGGCTTAAGCCAAATAGTGCTTTATCTTTTACTAAACTCTTAACATTAACTGATAACACTTCTCTATACTATTATTTTGAATAAATAAAGCAGATCTTTTCTTTAGAGAAGTTTTTTTATTTTGTTTTGTTTTCTTGAGACAGTCTCACTCTGTTGCCCAGGCTAGAGTGCCATGGTGTCAGCCTAGCTCACAGCAACGCCAAACTCCTGGGCTCAAGTGATCCTTCTGCCTCAGCCTCCTAAGTAGCTGGGACCACAGGCATGAGCCACCATGCCCGGCTAATTTTTTTTTATATATATTTTTTAGTTGGTCAATTAATTTCTTTCTATTTTTAGTAGAGATAGGGTCTCCCTCTTGTTCAGGTTGGTCTTGAACTCCTGAGCTCAAAGGATCTGCCCACCTTGGCCTCCCAGAGTGCTAGGTTTATAGGCGTGAGCCACCACACCTGGCCTAGAGAAGTTTTTAATTGGTGGGAAGAGATCATACAAGGGGTAGATGAATGAGTAAGATTTGAAGGAAGAATCTTATGCATAATTTCCATGTTTTAATGGTTGGTGCCTTTACTTATACATTTCATTTCAAGTTCTGAAAGAACCCCAAAATTTCAGCACATTGGCTACTGAATGTGGGCATAGGAGATTTAAACTCTACATTCAGTATCATAACTTGCTAAACTTTTTAGGCTTGCTTGAATAACTTTGTTGAGGTAAACTTGGTAAGGAATAAGTCAGATATTACCTACATAACCCTTAAATAAATCAGAGCCATTTAAGAATTTTGGTTCCTAGAGCTTCCCGGAAAACAAAATTTTTATTACTCCATGCATCATCTGAAATTTTGGAAAAATTATTCTACTATATATACATTTATTATTAAATAGCTAGTTTTCCTTTCTTATGTATCAAATACAATTAATAGTCAACCACAGCTTCTGAGGAAACTGAGATTATATAATTCAAGCAAAAACAAAGACATAGCATCTGTATTAGTCTGTGTGCTTTACTGCATAAGTAATGTACAATGCTTATTTGGTTGTTTGAAATACTGAAAATAACTCAAAGATTTCTATTACTACTATATTGCTCTTTTAGGGACAAAAATCCCATGTACAAAAACATTGTTGTGTCCAGGCACGGTGGCTCACGCCTGTAATCCTAGCACTCTGGGAAGCCGAGGTGGGTGGATTGCTCGAGGTCAGGAGTTCAAAACCAGCCTGAGCAAGAGCAAGACCCTGTCTCTACTATAAATAGAAAGAAATTAATTGGCCAACTAATATATATAGAAAAAATTCACCGGGCATGGTGGCGCATGCCTGTGGTCCCAGCTACTTGGGAGGCTGAGGCAGGAGGATTGCTTGAGCCCAGGAGTTTGAGGTTGCTGTGAGCTAGGCTGACGCCAGGGCACTCACTCTAGCCTGCGCAACAAAGTGAGACTCTGTCTCAAAAAAATAAATGAAAATAAATGAATAAAAAATAAACATTGTTGCCCTCCCATTTTACAGATGAAACACTGAATGGCGTATTTGAAGTACATAGCTCTTTTATGACAATGAGAATGTAAACCCAGTTTTCAACTTCAACACCGATACTCCACCATGCTGCCTTGCCTTTTGTTGCATATCTTTGGGAATAATGGAGTAATTTAAGGATATCTCTAAAAAATAAAAAGAACAGATTCCAGCTACAACCATGTCAGAAAAACTTTCAGATATTTTATAAGCAATGTAAGAATTTATTTGAAGAGGTTATCAGAGAAATAACAGTGCATATGTTGTTAAGTACTAACTAAAATATCTTCATATGCATGTGAGATGATTGGAGCAGAAGGAGGGGAGGAATATGGATTAAGGTAAGGGGTCTTTCCCTGGTTATAAACTGATCATAAACCACCTCAGCTCCTTCATTAGCAGGAGCACATTCTAAAAATATGCTTTTATTTGCTTCAGGTCTTTGCTTATTCTCTAAGGAAGTAGAAGGTTAAGAAGCCTGAAAGAGATCTAGGATTTTTCTAAGACTAACCTATAGACATTGAAAGAATAGAATTAGAAAGAACTGCTTGTGTAGCCAGGGCCATATTCCCTCCTAAATGAGTCAGCCAGCCTGCCTTAGACAGAAAGAAATAAGCACACAAAGAGAAGCAGGGAAAAGCAGACAAAAGAGATAGAAAGTACTGTAATGGTGTTGAGTAACATGCTCCTGAGGTTCTGGTCCCTGCAGCTCTTCTTGCCCCTGTGTGAACCATTCCAATATGCTTTCCAGCTATGAGAGAATTCATTATTGCTTAAACCAATTTGAATTTGTGTTTGGTCACTAGCAAATGAAAGAGTATTGATAATGTATTTTTGTCATGATAAAAGTGCACATAGCTCTGAATTCAAGGGTTTATAGAACATGGGCTTTTTAAAATGGACTTTGCTATAAAAGGACTTTAAAAAAACTTCATTAAGTCAAGGCATGACATTTGGGGGTAAAGAATGATGATGGCACCTATTTAAAAGATTTCTTTTTCTAGAAAACCTTAGCTAATCTGGAGAAAAATGTGTGATTTTTTTCTTTTTCCTTTTTAGAGATGGGGTCTTGCTATGTTGCCTAGGCTGGAGTGCAGTGCAGAACAGTGACTAAGTCACAGGCTCTGATCATAGCACACTACAGCCCAGAACTCCTGGGCTCAAGCAATCCTCCAGCCTCAGCATCTGGAGTAGCTGGGACTACAGGCGCACGACACCGCACTTGGCTCTGATTTATTTTTAACGGTATTTGTGACAGTGCTCAAGAGAACTACTATGCATGTGATTATAAACCCCAATTACTAAAATCAAAATAACTTAGTAAAAAACATATTTTAAAAGTATCAATAAATATATGAATATAAAGATAATGCTTTACAATACTTACTTTAATTTCTGGTTGAAACCAAGTCTGTGTCTTTGTGTCAAATACATGGACATCATTATGCCATCCCCAGAATATCTGCTCTTCCTAAAACAGAAATTTTTAAAATATCTAAAAGTTTTTATAATTTTTACATCATTGTTACAGTTTGGTCACATATTTACACCTTTCCAAAAACAGAATTGTTACCATAGCCATAAAGCTAATGCAAGCACCAGTGCCTCACAAAGTGCGGTCCCCAGACCAGTGGCAGCACCACCTGGCAACTTCTCTCTTCATAGTATTACTGCTTGCAGTGAATCATAATTTTGCTTATTAACAATCTTTCGGTTCTCTCAAAGGATTATCTCTCTTAAAATTGCAGAGGACCGAATGATGTTGGTATTTTGAAATCTGTTTTCCTAAAGCAAATGATCAGAACCCCTAATCTTTGCTGTAATAAACTTTAGAGGGCCATGGTTCCTTTTTCCAAAATTTTCTGATTGCTTCTACTTCACCAAGCCATTTATTCTTATAGGTCAGGCTTGTGCCCACTCTCTTCTTTATCTCCTAAGAGACAAAATTCTTTGTCAGCAAGGCAAAGATTTAGCAGTTCTACTATATTTAGCATCTTCCAAGCTGTTAAATCCACTATCACTGCTCCAGTTTACTTTCTATGGCAGTTTTACATTCTATGTCAGAAATATATCATTTATTTTTGTCAGGACTTGTCGAGCAAGTCAAATAAACTAAATGATTTACTTAGTTTAGAATCTAAATGAAAAAACTCTACTTATCCAGAAACTTCAGGACATGTTCATTAGCTTAACTATAACAATAGAGGGGGAGAAAGAAAATGAGTGATTTCACTGATGAGTAAAAATAATTACATATAAATAATAATTATAAGTTATAGTCCTGAAAATCATCAGTAATGCTTTAAATAGCAAAGCTTTAAATATATTACAGTAAAACTCAAGAACCATGTAGACACAAAGAAGAATTTTTTCTATACAAAGTGATATACATGAAATTTATATATACATTTACATTAACAATGTACAATAATAATATGTACTAGTAGAAGGTAAAGCTGAAAAGATTGTGCATCTTGGTGGTAGGATCAATGGTTTTAAAAATTATCTTCTAAAAGATTTCATTTTTATAATTCATGACTTCTTTCATTAATAATGATTTATTCTCTAATCAGTAAGTTGAAAAATTAATATTACTACCAACTCACGCTTATGTAGAGGCCAGTCTGAGCTAAGAATAATTCTGGTGGATGTGTCTAAAAAGTTAAATATGAAAATTTTTTCCAAATTGTGCTAAAGCCTCTAACTTGTCCAACAGAAGCAGGTATACATGACTAACAATGTAAGAAAAGAAATCAGTCTGCTAATAGTCATGAAGGCTAATACTACTAGATGAGAGACCCTTTACCAATTGGATTCAAATCTAAAAGAGAGAAAACATATTTTTTCCCATGGTGTAAATTATGGCAAATTGGTAGCTCCTAAAATGAGAAAGACTGGGATCCTTGTTTAAGACTATACTGAATTAGAGGAAAATGTAAACAGTGATTACTCTCTTACCCAAGACGCATCATGAACATCAAAACAGTCTTGGAGTTCATTGTGTCTCCTACACCCATAACCACCAAAATATATTAATCTGAAAAAAAAAAATACAAAGGACATACTTTAGGAATTCTATTTCCAGTTTGTTCACAAAAAGTTGAAAAAGATCCTTTTCCTCATCCTAACAGCCCAAACAAGCCAAATAAACTAAAAAAAATCACAGTTTAAAAAAAAATCAAAGAAGCTGAGGGAACAAATAAACCTAAATGAACCAATTCCAGAAAGTGGTAAGTTCTCACTAGGAGAGAAGAGACCCAGGGCTACACTTTCATCCCTGGTGTAACAGCAGAAGGAGGAAGAATCCAGCACCTACACGGTTTGTAAAGAGAAATCACTCAAGTCTTCAACAGCCACGTCTATGCTGGCATGGCAAATTAGAATCTTAAGAAACCCTCCCTCCCCCATAGAGGGAGCTTGAATCTACTCCATAACACTTTCACACAGTCTCAGTATGTGTGAAGGAAGGCTCAGGCTCAGTATCTAACAGCCGGAAGCAGAGGAAACTGAGCAACCTCCCTCAAGGAAACCTGAGCTTTCAAGCACTAGAGTTTGGGATCATGACAGGAGATTTGAAAGAAATACCTCAGATGTAAGCCAAACCTTTTATACCTTTAAACCCTGTAGGGTAGCAGCCCTTCAAAGGCCAGGGGAAGCAATACAAGGCTGAAAGAGATCGCCCAAGTTGCAGAAAGCATGAAATGGGATTGGAGAGCAAAGAGAACTCCGTAGTGGCCCAAGGACCTATCATTTGGGCTATAAAACATGGAGAGATTTCCCACAGTTTTGAGAGGTGGGAACTCAGCTGTGAAGCACAACTGAAAATCTCTAGAAAATCTCCAATGCTCAAATATGGAGCCCTGGTAAAGGAAAATGCTGTCTTAAAACATTTGAAACCAGTGGTGAAACTGAATCAAACTAACGCTACAACAAAGCCCAACACAAATCAACTACAGATTAGACTGCCTCAACTCCCTCTCTAGCAGCCTAAAAAAAGAAGAAAGGACATGTCCCTTTCTGGAGATAAATACAATTTATTCCAATCTTTCCTGTTCCTTCAGACAGAAGGTCTGGCACATAATAAAAAATTACAAAATACATGAAAAGGAAAAAAAAGTAGCCTGTGATCCAGAGAGGAAAGAGTCAATATAAGCAGACTCAGAGGTAGCCCAGATATTGAGGTTATCAGAAAGGACCTTTAAAGTAACTATGATAAAACTGCAAATACACTTAGTAAGAAAATGTGGACAACATGCAGAAGAAATGGGTAATTTTAGTAGAGTTATGGAACCATAAAAATGAACCTAATTGAAATGCTAAAAATGGAAAATAAGATGTCAAAATAAAGAATTCATGACATAGGCTTAATAGCAAATAATACAGGAATGGAAAAGATCAGTAAAATTAAAGACAAGTCAATAGATCAATAAAAATATCTAATTAAAACACAAAGAAAATCCCTGGTGATATGGTGGTTAGGATAAAAAAATAAATAAAACATAAAGAAAAGAATGGAGGAAAAAACAGGTAGTCTAAGCTCTGTGGCACAATAACAAAAGGTCTAACATGCATTTAATGGGAGTCTCAGAAGGAGAAATAAGGAACTGTATAGAAGAAATATTGTATAGAAGAACTGATGGGAGATATCAACCTACCAACCCAAGAAGCTCAGCACACTCTAAGCAAGATAAACATAAAAGGAAACTGCACTTAGGTATATTTAATAAAATTATTGTAGAAAAGAGCAAAAACAAAGAAAAGATAAAGAAACCATAACACATATTATATACAGAGGAACAAAAACACAAATTAGAGGGAATTTTTCATCAAAAAAGAAAGGAAACCAAAAGCAATGTAATAAAATCTGGCTGGGCATGGTGGCTCACGCCTGTAATCCTAGCAGTCTGGGAGGCCAAGGTGGGAGAATGGTTTGAGGTCAGGAGTTTGAGACCAGTCTGAGCAAGAGTGAGACCCCATCTCTACTAAAAATAGAAAAACTTAACCAGTCAACTAAAAATTAGCTGAGTGTGGTGCTAACACCTGAAGTCCTAGCTACTCAGGAGGCTGAGGCAGGAGGATTGTCTGAGCCCAGGAGTTTGAGGTTGCTATGAGCTTCTGACACCATGGCACTCACTCTAGCCTGGCAACAAAACGAGACTCATTCTCAAAAACAATAACAACAACAACAAAAAAACCCCAATAACCAATCTAATAAAGTCTTTAAAGTGCTGAAAATAAAATTTTAAAAAATATGCTAACCCAACTGATCAAAGAAAAAATCACAAGGGAAATTAGAAATTACCTTGAGATGAATGAAAATGAAAACATAATATAACAAAACTTATGAGATGCAATGAAGGCAGGGCCCACAGGGAAATTTACAGCTCTAACTGCCTACATTAAAAAAAAAAAGATACTGGGCATGGTAGCTCATGCCTATAATCCTAGCACTTTGGAAGGCCAAGGTGGGAGGATTGCTTGACGCAGGCTAGTCAACATATTGAGATCCCATCTGTAAAAGCAATTTTTAAATTAGCCAGCCATGGTGGTGCATGCCTGTAGCCTCAGCTACTCAGGAGGCTGAGGTAAGAGAATCACTTGAGCCCAAGAATTTGAGGTTGCAGTGAGCTGTGATCATGCCATCACATTCTAGTCTATGTGACAGTGCAAGACAACATCTCTTTAAAAAAATCTCAAATCAATAACAGAACTATGCACATTAAGGAACTAGAAAAGAAGAGCAAACTAAACCCATAGACAGTAAAAGAAATGAAATGGTAAAGATTGGAGGGGAGTTAAACAAAATAGTGAATAGAAAAATTGAGAAATCAAGAAGTTGGTACTTTGAAAAGATCAACAAAATTGACAAATGTCTTACTAGACTAAGAAAAAAAGGGAAGACTCAAATTACTAAAATCAGAAATGAAGAGAGAATATTAGTATCGACATTATAGAAATAAAAAGAATTATAAAAGAATACCACAAAAAACTGTCAACAAATTAGATTAACTAGATGAAATAGAAAAATGCTTGGAAATACATACACTACAAAATTATCGCTAAAGCAGAAATAGAAAATCTGAATAACACTAAAACAAATAAGGAGACTGAATCCGTAATCAAAATCCTCCCAAAAATAAAAGCCCAGGGGTAGATGACTTCACTGCTGAATTCTACCAAACATTTAAAAAAGAATTAACATCAATCCTTTCCAAACTTTTCCAAAAAAATTAAAGAGGAGGTAATACTTCCTAACTTAGTCTATAAGGCTACCATTACATTAATGCTAAAACCAGACAAAGATTCTACAAGAGAAGAACACTACATATAGCTGATAAGGAATTAATATCCAGAATATATAAAGAACTCTTATAAATCAACAACAAAAAACCAGACAACCCAATTTTTTAAATGGGCAAAGGATGTGAAGAAACATTTCTCCAAAGAAGACACACAATTGTCTATTAAGTGTATGAAAAGATAGTCAACATCATTAGTCATTAGAGAAATACAAATCAAAACCACAATAAGGTACCACTTCATCCCTACTAGGATGGCAATTATAAAAAATAAGAAACATAGGCAAGGATGTGAAGAACTTGTAATGCTTGTACATTGCTGGTGGGAATGTAAAATAAGTATAGTCACTGTGGAAAACAGTTTGGTGTTTCCTCAAAAACTTAAATACAGAATTGCCATATGACCCAGCAATTCTACTCTTTGGGTATATATCCAAAATAATTGAAAACAGGGACTCAAACAATACTTGTATGCCAATGTTCATAGTCATATCATCCACAGTAGCCAAAGGTTGGAAACAACCAAAGTGTTCATCAACAGATAAATGGATAAACAAAATATAGCATATACATACAATGGAATATTAGTCATAAAAAGGAATGACAAATGCTACAACCTAATGATCCTTGAAAGCATATGTTAAGTGAAATAAACCATACACAAAAGAACAAATATTTTATGATTCAATTTATATGAAATACCTGTAATAAGCAAACTCACATAGACAGAAAGAAGATTAGAGGTCACCAGGGTTTGGGAAGAAGGGAGAATAGGGAAATATTGCTAAATGGGTATAGTTTCTGTTTAGAGTAACGAAAAAGTTCGGAACTAGATAATAATGATGATTGTACAACATTGTAAATGTAATTAATCCACTGAATTTTATACTTAAAATATGGTTTAAATGGAAGATTTTATGTTTTATAAATTTTACCACAACCTTTTAAAAAGGTATAATACAATGTAAGTCTCCCTCCTACTCTCAGTCACTCAATTCCCCTGCCTGGAGCAACCACTGTTACTAGTTTCTTTTACTTACTAACAAGGAAAACTTTAAAGGACCAAAAATATTAACACTTTTTAGGGTAGATAAAGCCCTGGAAAAACAAAAGCAGAAAACAAAAGTGGCTTACAGAAACAGATATCATTGCCGTAGGTGTTCATGGAGATATTCCCTTTATGCAAGACTACACAAAGCTCAGAGATGCAATTCAGTCCTATCTTTACCTCTTGCCCCTATAATGCTTCTTCTAAACCCAAATGGCAAAATATTAAGGCCTAGCCAAGAAACAAATTGATAAAATTATCAATTATTCCTAAAAATTTTTTATGTATCTGCAAATAGAATTTAACAGTATGTTGAAACACTTGTTACAAACAAGAGTTATACCAAAAACATAAATATATATTAGAAAATGTATCATATCAGTATATAAATTAGAAAAAATGTCAAACCTTCTCAAAAGACAGGTAAAAGTATTTAATAAAAATAAATAAATACGGAGGCCGGGCACGGTGGCTCACGCCTGTAATCCTAGCACTCTGGGAGGCAAAGGCGGGCGGATTGCTTGAGGTCAGGAGTTCCAAACCAGCCCTGAGCAAGAGCGAGACCCCGTCTCTACTATAAATAGAAAGAAATTAATTGGCCAACTAAAAATACATATACAAAAAATTAGCCAGGCATGGTGGCGTATGCCTGTAGTCCCAGCTACTCGGGAGGCTGAGGCAGAAGGATTG